TGAAATCTATTCTCTTCAGTTGGCAAAAGATTCTCAAAGTGAGAGACAGCCTCAGGAAAAAGTCAAATCCAGAATGCTGCCTGTAAACTATGACCTCTGGGTTAAGATGAAGTGAAGGGTGAAATTATAAGACCATTTGTTAAGAGAAAGATGGTGCCTCATGCACCCATACAACTGGACAAAGAAATTCTAGAATTGAAGGGCGTTGTCTCACAGCATCCTAAATAGCGGACTGAGGTAGAGAGAGGTCTACCTCCAAGAGGTTTGGAGCTAAGGTTTTTGATTAGAGGAATGGTTTATAACTTGATATACAGAAAGCGCATTACACTTTTAATTGTACTATACCCACTTGGACCCAAAGAGCAAAGGTAGTTCAGAAAGGGAAGGGTCTGTGGGCTCTCAAACTTCCACAAGCAGGAAACAGGCTGAAAGGCTACTGGGCTGCAAATCTAAGCTATTCTCCCATAAACATATAAGAGGTGATCAGCAGCACTGGGCTTTAGAGAAATGCAAATATAAACAATAATGAGATAGTAATTCATACACACCAGGATGGCTATAATGAAAAAGACAGTAACAAGTTGCCAAGGATGTGGAGAAATCAGAATCCTCATTCACTCTGCTGGTAGGAATATAAAAAGGTGCAGCTGCTTTAGAACAGTTTGGTATTTTCTTAAAAACTTAAACACAGTGTTACCATGTGACCTAGCAATTGTACTCACAGGCACATAGACAAGGGAAGTAAAAACATGTCCACTCAAAATTTGTATACAAGTGACGCAGGTTCGATTCCCAGTCAGGGTACATGCCTGGGTTGCAGGCCATGACCCCCAGCAACCCCACACTGATGCTTCTCTCTCTCTCTCTTTCTCCCTCCCTTTTGTCTCTAAAAAATAAAAATAAAATAAAATAAAATCTTAAAAAATAAAGAATAAAAAAATAAAAAATAAATTTGTATACAATTGTTCATAGTAGCATTATTTATATTAGCTAAGAAATGGAAAAACACCTAAATAGGTCAGCAAGACATGATATAATATACAGTTAAATATTATTCAGCCACAAAAAGGAATGAAATACTGACACATGTTACAACATAGATGGATGTTGAAAGTATGTTAAGTGAAATCAGCCAGTCATAAAAGGCCACATATGAAAGTGAAGTACAAGCTGCTACCCTGAATTTTGATTCTGGGGTCAGAAGTCTCTGAGGAAGTGGCAATTCATAACTGATACCCAAGGGTGCATAAGAGAGTAGCCAAGCAAAGGGTGAGGAAAGAGCATTCCCGGAAAGCATACTCATGACAGCCTAAGGAGGAAGAGAGCTTAGTCATGTGAAGAACTATAAGGACGGCATGCTAGAATGTAAGAACCCTGTAACAGGTGCAGTTGGAGAAACAGGCCAGTTTATGCGGGGCTTTATAGGTTTATTGTAGTGGTTTGAAGACTCCAATAAATAGCAACCCCTTCTCCATATGGATTCATGGAGAAATAAAACAGCCAAGTTGGCTTGATGGGGTTCACGGTATTACCTTTATCACCTACAAAGCTAGGTCAGAAGACGCAGCTTAGTTGAGAGCTAAATGAGCCTTACAACCCCTAAGTTCTATACCTCCCAGTTCAAACTTTGGAACAGCCTCTTTCAAGACAAGTTCCAGCAAATACAAATATGTACACTGCTGCTTCCCATTGTCCAGGTGGAAGAGGAGAAAAGCACACTCCTTTGTCTGGAAGCTTTGATACATCAGCTCTATCCAGTCAAAAACCACACACCGAAAAATTACCTTTACCTCTATGAGAATAATCAGTAAGGCAGACTCCAAAGCACTTAGGGAAACAGCTCTCCTCCTGGTAACCAGAATGGTAGAACTAAATGAAGCCCCTTCCCACAGGTACAGTAAGGATTTTTAATGGAAAATCATTAAAGAGTTTTAAATTAAAAAGGCTTGATTCATGTTGAAAAACACCACTTAGGATGCTAGGTAGAAAACGAATGCAACAAGAGCAAAAGTGGCAGCAGGAAAATGACTTACCAAATTAGGGCTGACTCATCTATCTACTGGTTGTTTCTGGGGGCAAGGTCACAGAAATTCAGATTGGAGCTAATAAAGTAACTTATTAGCTCACATAGATAGAAGTCCAAAGGTAGGGCAGGCTCCAGGTGTGGTATAATCAGCAGCTGGATGATGTTACTAGTGTCTTCATGTCTCAATTCTTTGCTATCCTTGGTGTGTCTTCAGGCTGATTTCTCCTATGATGGTAAGATGGCTGACTCTACCACTGGGGCTACATACTTCAGTGTTCATGTACTTCAGTGTTAAGGTGGAAATCTCCTTTTGAGCCAGGTTAGATCACTTGCCCACCACGGGAACAATATTGAAACAGCACACAAACCACACTGGCCAGCTTAAACCAGTACTACTTCCTTAAAGCAGATCGATGATTAATACATTCTTGAATTGTTTTACAGAGACAGCACTGCACATGTGTCCCCAGAACCAAAGGATTGGGATCTGACCAGAACTTGAACATTGGAACTCTTTCAGAAGCAAAAGGTCTGTTGTCCAGTAAGCTCTGATGCTAAGCCTCTTACCATAAATGGCCAAGTTCCAAACCTCCCCAAACTGCTCTGCCAGCGCTTCTGCATATCTCTTCCCAGTACCTCCTTCAAACTCTCCAATTTTAAGCCATCAGGAACAGTTTTGAGCAACAGCATTCTGCTTCATCTTGAGGAATGCTAGCAGTAAAACAACCCTCATTTCTCTACTGCAGTTCTCAGTGTTCAGTACTTGGTTCTGCTGGCACCGGGTGGACTAACTCTTTCTGTTCCGAACAATATGAATCATCAAGGGAACTCCAAGCGCTGATTAATTTATTCTAATCCATCATTCACCCTGGGCCTAGGAATGGAATCAGCTTCCATGTGGTTGTAAGGATTCCCCAAACTATAAAACTTGGGGCTCCAGTTGCCTAACGTGAAGAAAGGAGGACACTATCTGAAGATTAAGTAACCTATGAAAACTTCCAACATAAACACCAGACTGCCAGCAACTGGAGATAACTTACCGTTAGTAATTTTTAAAACAAAGTTAAAAGGAAAGTATTCATATTTAACTAGATTATTTCTAGGTGTGAAATGTCTATATACCCTATTATGAAGCACAAATTTTTAAGATTTTTTCCCAAATTTTTAGATGCTGTTACATAGAAATACAATTTATTTTCCATTTTGACTTTGTCTTGACATTTCTAAATTTACCTATGAATTACAATAATTTATCTGTAGAATATTTTTGATATTTCATATAACAAGAAATAAATTTATTTCTATAAGTTTTATTTTTTCTACCTTTTTCCAATTTTTTAAATTGACATATAATTCACATACTATAAAAATCACTCTTTTAAAGTATACCATCCAGTGGTTTTCAGAATATTCAGAAGGTTGCGCAACCATCACCACTATGTAATTCCAAAAAATTTCATCATCCTGAAAAGAAACCCTGTGCCCATTAGCATTCATGCCCTATTCCCTATCCTGCCAGCTCCTGGCAACCATGAGTCAACATTTTTCCCAAAGCATTGCTTTTGCTAAAATCCATTTATTAATAATCACTCTGCCATTATTATGTGCCAGATACTCTTTTGGGTATTAGGGATTCATATTAAGACAAAGCACCTCCCTTTGAGAAACAAAGAAAAACAACGTAAAACAATATCTTTACAATGCAAGAAATGCATATTGAGATACATTATCTAGATACGTGATAGAGTAAAATGCAAAAAAAAAATGCATGCATTTTACAATAAAACATGAGATTCCAAGGAATTTTCCTTGCTGGACCAGGTCACTTCAAGCTATTCAAAAGCCATCTAGTGATAGATGTTTACTATCCTCTGCTGCTACAGGCAAAGGGGGTACTTCATAGGAAAAGGCTAAGAGAACGTTACAGTGTTCATCTATATAATACAGGGAGATATACACAGACAGAGATTATAGACTATAGATAGATATAGATATAGATAGATATGATTATAGATGGAATTAGCAAGCCAGAAGTCTTAGTTTCTAGCTGAGGCACAAATACTGTCCACAGCAATGAATTATAAATTAGTATGCAATGGCTTCATCCATCCATTCAACAAAGAATTATTGAGCCTCTCCTTAGTACACCATGAAACACAAAAATATGTAAAACACATGATCCTGGTCTTAAAGTTTTTGCTCAAATCACTACAGTATAATATAAGGAAGTACAATAATACAGAAGAGTTTCACATAAGACATACAAGAGGCAAATCACTTCTAGAAAATAAAAAAAATTCTTCCACTATGGAAATTTGTTCATTTTGTAAACAAAATGAGATCCTTTTTTTTTTAAAAGGAGTTGTTTATTTTTATTTATTTTATTTATTTATTTTTAGAGAGGGAAGGGAGGGAGAAAGAGAGAGAGAGAGAAACATTAATGTGCAGTTGCTGGGGGCCATGGTCTGCAGCCCAAGCATGTGCCCTGACTGGGAATTGAACCTGCAATGCTTTGGTTCACAGCCCGAGCTCAATCCACTGAGCTATGCCAGCCAGGCAAAATGAGATCTTTTATAAAAATGTTCATGTCACTTTATCACCCTGGTCAGGCGGCTCAGCTGGTTGGAGCACTGTCCCATACACCAAAAGGTTGTAGGTTCCATTCCTGGTCAGGGCACATGTCTAGGCTGTGGGCTCGATTTCAGTCAGAGTGCGTGTGCGAGGCAACCAATTGATGTTTCTCTCTCACATGGATGTTTCTCTCTCTCTCTCTCTGTTCCTCTCTCTCTAACACAAATAAAATCAATAAACACATCCTCAGGTGAGGATTAAAGGGAAAAATGTTTATATCAGCCTATAATTTACACTTGGATCATCTAAGTCTCTGGTACCTGTAAATATGCTCAGATGTCAAAAAAAGGGAGTTGAATTCATCTGTTATCCAGTGTGAATATGAGCAATCACACTGACTTACTTTTCAGCGCCTCCTTCAGCTGTGCCTTGTGGTTGGCTGCATGATACCAAGTGATCTGGGCACCGTCTTCTGTAGTGATCTGGTTATTTCTCAGAAAATACTGCAGTATATTTTCACTCCAAGATCCTAAAACAACAGCATTTACACAAAAAAGAACAGATTGTTTTACATGAAGTAAAAAAATTTTAATAAAAAGGTCACAGCCTATAATGAGAGAGAATAATAAAGTAATTAAACTGAGAAAAACATGAGATGTTAAAAAAGATAGAGTATTATGCTGTGGCAGGTTAACATATATAAATATATAAACATGCTATATATGAGGTAAGTAATGATTAGTAAACAGAAGGTAGTCTGGACCTTTGAAGCATGAAAAAACTGGCAAGAAACATAAAAAAAGTGGTAAGAAACACATATTTTAAAGCAGAAATTTTCACATTTTGTCATCTCCAATCCTGAATAAGTAAAATATATATATAAAGCCATAGCTATAATAAAAACTTCTAAATTTTGTACAATTTAATTGTTTTCTCCATCTGAAGCCCTGCTCTATATTTATATTAACAATTTAGAATCTTAAATTACATATTGAATTACTCTCGGCCTTTTGGCTAAGATCAGGTGTAACATCTGTTCTTATCAGTTTAAATTACATATTTAAGCATTTTTACCTTCAGAGTATGAGTCTCAGCATCATTTATCTGAGTGACTAAGTAAATTCTTGAGTTAATATTCACAGATTTATCTATCTTGTACAAATATACATAATTCCCTTATTTATCAACTACTTTTTGGCACACAGATTTTCTCTTAATTAAACATTAAAATATGAGTTAACTGAGACTAACACACTTGAACCCACATCTACTCCAAATGATGCTATATCCTATAACAGTGAGAAAAAAGTAAAAAAGAATTAAAAAGGTAAAAAACAATGAAAACAGTCATCTGTAAATCTTACCTTTCTAATTCTTGTTCATTTATTTAAACATTTAAGTATCTACCAAGTGGCTGCAAATTCCCTATGCATGAGATTTTGTCTTATGTTAATTATTTGCTTATTAACTCTGCCTAACAACAGTTAAAAAACTAAAAATGGCCATCATGAACTGCTGAGGCACTGAGAAAAAGTAAAATTTGATTAGAGAATGGAGAAGCATATAACTTCAAACTAACGTGCATGGACTTCACAACCACTCTGTATGTTGGGCTACAGAATGCAGGAGAAAATTAGCTGCAGCATCTACTACCCTCCAGGCAGCTTCCTACCATAAACACGTGGCCCTATGTAGCCTGAGTCTGAGATTTTAAGATGAAAATACTAGGCCATCATTTATTAAATATTTAAGTTGTGCATTTTTAGAAGGTACATTATTTACAACAGACATGTATAACAATGCACAAATAATTAAATCTTAGTATAATTTCAAGATAAAGTATGTGATTAATGTAGATGTTAAAAATGAAGTTTTTGAGATACACCAGAAGATTCACGAAAAGGGTAATCATGCATGTCACCAGAAACAACTAAATATTAGTTAATGGTAGGTATCAGACGTCTCCACAGCACCATTCAACTAAACACATTACAGTCAAAATTTTTATAAGGGCAACTTATAGATTAATGATAAAATACTATGACTCCAAAATTAAAAAATTTTAGGTAAAAAGTTCTCCTTGCCCTGTTAATGGATAAAACTGCCACCTGATACTTAGTCACAGCTGTATATATCATAGAATTTAAGAAGACTCCAATTATCTATGATCTAGGATATTTAGTGCTATTTAAGTAGGCTGTAATTCTGAAAATTAGGCCAGGAGAAAGACAAAATTAGTTGCAATTTTTATTTTTATTTTTGTGTGTGTGTGTTTCTTTTTTCTTTCCATCACCATTTAGTCACCTTATACCTCCCACCCCACCCACTGTAATCACCACACTGTTGTCCTGCAACTTTTAAAATTAAGACTTTTGGGCGAACAGGTTTAGCTCTACAGAAAAAAACTGAGTGAAAGGTACAGCGAGTTCACATATGATCCTCCCCCTATTCTTACATCTTTTTGTGGTGATGAAAATTTGTAAAAATTGATTGTAGTGACAGTTACACAACTCTGAATACCCTAAAAAAGCCAATAAATTACATGCTTTGAATGAATAAATTGTAAGGTATGCAAATTATCTCAAAAAGAAGTAAAAAAGAAAAAAGTTCTTAATAAAGAAAAATACAACTTTGGCCCAAAAATTCCACTTTCATAAATTTATCCTATAAACAGATAAGGTCACATGTGGGAAATGACACATTTCATACAAAATATTTATTGCAGCATTGTTTACAATGGCAAAAAAGAGAAAATAACCTAAATATCCACCAACAGTAAATTCAGTAAATAAATATGGTATATCTATGCAATAGAACATTATTCAGCCATTGAAAAGAATGAAGCAAATCTATATGTGCAGATATAGTGTAACCTCAAGACACATTAAGCAAAAAAAAGGCAAGGTAGAGACTAATATATATATTTATTTATTCATTCTAATAGGAAGAATAATGATACCTGACCTCCAAAGATATCTATGTCCTAATCCCTGGAACCTGTGAATATGTTATATTACATAGCAAGAAGGAATTAAGGTTATAGGTGGAATTAAGTTTGCTATTCAGCTGACTTTGAGGTGAAGATGAGGCAGGAGATAGCACAGGAGGAACTCTGAGACTGCAATACTGTTACTGGCCAGCACCTAGCACCCTGGTTGCCAGGAAACGCCTTTTACCAATTATCTGATCTGATAATATCACCAGGTGCTCCAACATCACAAGAAACACTATGTTAGCAAGAAAGAAGGAAAGTCCTTGAAATTCTATGTAGCATTTCCACTATCTGGGAAAGAAGGCCTTGAAACTGTGCTTTCACCCCAGGGCCTGAATGTGGGAGAGGGTTCCCGGTGCCCAAAGAAAGAGCCCATAAAACAACTTTGGTTAATTGCCTACCTCTGGTCACTACCTGTCTTAGGAGGGAGTCCCTGATGCTTATAGAAAGAGCCCATAAATAACTTCGGAAAGTGCCCCAATTTTAATTAAGTGCCTCCTGTCACGTATTTGCTTTACAAGATGAACAAATGGGGTCTGGAGCAAGATGAGGATTCAGGCTAACAGACCCCCACACATCCCTAAGTTTGGGTAGTCACATTCCCCCAGGAAAGCTGGCACCACATTTACCTGTTAATCAATATGTAACTTTTTTCCTCCTATCCCACCAACCACTTAAGTCCTCAGAACAAAGGACTCTCTCTTTCTCTCAGGGGCTCAGGGCGCTCTTGATGCTCTTGGCTCCGGGGCCACAGGGCCTCTGGCCACCCAACCTCAGGCTGCCTGGGGGCTTGCCACCCTGGTCTTCAGCCGCTCTTTCTTTGTTGCCCTGCTTTGCCCTGAAACTTTGCCTTTCACCCCCTACTCTACCCAATCCTGCTCTCTTCCATGGGAATGGGCCACTAATAAACTGATTACATGCTAATAGATTTGCTGATATGTAATTCTTTACATGTGTCAGCAAGAAGAACCAGGTCTCTCCAGTCAACAAAGATAGTAGTATAAATCACCCGGGTGGGCCCAATTTAATCACAAGGCCGTTACAAGTGCAAGAGGGAGGCACAAGAATCAGTGTCAGAGTAATGCAATATGAAAAAGACTCAACCAGCCATTGCAGGCTTTGAAAATGCAGGAAGAGACAGTGAAGCAAGAACCCAAGCAATCGCTAGATTAGGGGTGTCAAACTCATTTTCACTGGGGGCCCACATCAGCCTCATGGTTGCCTTCAACGGGCCAAATGTAATATCAACTCCTTAACAATTAAAAAGTAGTTACATTTATACAATTCTAAAATTATTTTGGCCTTTTGAAAGCAACCACAAAACTGATGTGGCCCCCTGGTGAAAATGAGTTTGACATCCCCGCTCTAGAGGATGAGAAAAGCAAAAAGGCTAATTTTCCCCCAGAGCCCTCCAGAGGGAGTTCGGTCATACTGACACTTAGGTTTTAGCTCGGTGAGACCCATTTCAATTTCCGACCTCCAGAACTGTAATATATATCTGTGTTGTTCTAAGCCACTAAAAACTAATGCTGTGAAAAAGTTTGTTTTTTAAACAGTAAGAGAAATTTTAAAAGGAGATATATAGTATATGATGGCAAGTATACTATGACCTTAACTATATTTTCTTAAAAGTTAGAATTGTTATAAAATAGGAGCATACCATAAACTTACTACTGGTGCCTCTGAGTATTGTCCTTACATGGATTTCTTTCCCACATGGTCTGCAATAAGCATGCATTATGTTTACAGTCAGGAAAAAATTTAAACTGAGAAAAGGATGAAGGATACAATGTTAATACTCTGAACTCAATTGACTTTCTATACATGAGTAATGAACAAGTGGAATTTAAAATGAAAAATAACACCATTTACATTAGCATCCCCAAAACTTGAAATATTTAAGTATAAATCTAACAAAATATGTACAAGATCTATATGAGAAAAACTGCAAATCTCTGATGAATGAAATCAAAGAACTACAAAGAGAGATGTTCCATGTTCATGAATAGAAAGACTCAATATTGTCAAGATGTCGGTTCTTCCCAACTTGATCTAGAGATTCAAGCAATCCTAACCAAAATCCCCCCAAGTTATTTTCTGGCTACTGACAAACTGATTCCAAAGTTTATATGGAGGCCAAAAAACACAGAAGAGCCAACACCATATTGAAGGAGAACAAAGTAATGATATTACCCAACATTAAGACTTACTATAAAATTACAGTAATCAGGGAAGTGCAATATTAGTGAAAGAACAAACAGATCAATGGAACAACTGGAGATCTCCCAAATAGACCTCCATAATAGAATCAAATGATTTTTGACAAAGGAACGAAGGCTATACAATGAAGAAAAGAAAGTCTTTCCCATACATGGTTCTCGAACTGGACATCCACATACAAAAAATAAATCTAGACACAGAACTTACACCTTTCACAAAAATTAACTCAAAATGGATCATAGACCTAATGTAGAATGCAAAACTATAACACTACTAGAATATAGGAGAAAATATAGACAACCTTGAGTGTGTCAGTGATTTTTTACATATATACCAAAGGCACGGTTCATGAAATAACAGATTAGCTGGACTTAATTAAAAGAAAAACTTCTGCTCTGGGAAAGACAATGTCAAGAGAATAAGACAAGCTACAGACTGGGAGAAAATATTTGCAAAAGACACTGATGTGGCCCCCTGGTGAAAATGAGTTTGACACCCCTGCTCTGGAGGATGAGAAAGGCAAGAAGGCCGATTTTCCTCTAGAGCTGTTAAGGACTGTTATCCAAAAATATAAAAAGAACTCTTAAAACTCAACAATAAGAAAGCAATCCAATTTAAAAAATGGGCCAAAGACCTTTGGTGAACAAACAATTCACCAAAGAAGATAAACATATGGCAATCATAAAACATATGGCAATCATATGCCTGGTGTTCCACAGGACGTATCCTAAGAAAAACACAAAACAAGCAAGTACAACTACATACCTATTGGAGTGGCCAAAACCCAGAACACCAATAACACCAAATGCTGGTGAGGATGCGAAGCAACAGTATTGTGGGTGGGGATGCAAAATGACACAGGCACGTTGGAAGACAGTTTGGCAGTTTCTTATAAAACTAAGCATACTTTTACCATATGATCCAGTTAACTCCCTGCTATTTACCCAAAGGAGCTGAAAACTTCTGTCCACACAAAAACCTGTGCATGGATGTTTACAACAGCTTTTTTCATAATTACCAAAACTTGGAGGCAACCAAGATGTCCTTCAGTGTGCGAACAGATAAACTGTGGCACATCCAAACAATGAAATATCGTTTGATGCTAAAAAGAAATGAGCTATCTAGCAAAAAAAAAAAAAAAAAAAAAAAAAAGGACAGGAGGAAACTTAAATGCATATTAACAAGTGAAAGTAGTCAATATGAAAAGGTGACATAACACATGATTCCAACTGTATGACATTCTGGAAAAGGCAAAACTATGGAGACAGGAAAAAGATCAATGGCTGTCAGGGATTGCGGTGAAGTAAGGGATGAGTAGGTGGAGCACAGAGTATTTGGGTGCAGAGAAACCATTTTGTATGATACCATAATGATGAATACATGTCATTATACATTTCTTTAAAACCACAGAATGTACAGCACCAAGAGAAAACCCTGGTCAACTGTGGACTTAAGTGATTATGAGGTGATTATGATGTGTCAATGCAGGTTCACAATTGTCACTCCCCGAGGGAATGTTGATAATGCGGAGGCTACACATGCACCCAGTTAGGAGAAATACGGAGAATCGGTTCCTCCCGTTCAATTTTCCTGCGAACCTAAAACTTCTCTTTAAAAAAAAAATCTTTTTAAAAAGGGCGTAATATTCTTGCCATTCAGGTCGCCCCAGACGCTTTATTCTCTTAACATCCACGGCGGAAACCAAGGTTCAGGCCAGTGGACTGTGGCTGCGCGCTGAGAATACGCATCGCGAGGATCTAAAAAAGGAAGGGGTGCTGCCAGAGGAGTCTCTTAAAGCGCCCCTAACAACCCCGCACGAGGCCAGAGAAAGTGCAGGTCGTGGAGCCAATTCTGCGGAGCAGAAATCGTCGCTTACCAGGGCCCCCAGCTGTCGTTGCCATGGTGACGGACGCCCGCAGTCCGCGCAGGCGCTAAGCCGCGGGCGTCTGCGAAGAGCTGTCACAGGTGGCGAGGAAAACTGACTCAACCACCGGCGAAGAAAGGCCTCCTAGGACCGCCTGGGAGGAAACTTGCGGAAGTGGAGGCGGAAGCGGTGTGGGGGTGCGCACGCTCAGAGGCTGTGGCTCGAGTTTCGCTTGCGCGCAGACTCTGTTTCGCGTCCAAGTGTCGCAAGAATTCTTCTTTGGGAAGGTAGTCAAAACCGGTGGTTGTGAACGTCTCCGGCCCGGTCAGGGAACACAGAGGCAGAAAATGAGATCCAAGATTGAAATCAGTTACTGGTGTGGGGTACCAATTTCCAAAGTTGGTTATATTTTCTCTTTTTAGTTTTAGTAGCATCCTAAAATGACATGGAATCATTTCTTCATAAAAAAAAATAGTGTTTCTGCCCAAGTACGGAGCTGATAACTTGAAAGTTTTGTCCCCTTCTCTCTTTACGAGTGTTCACTCAGAAAACATTCTAGCAACTAGATTCACACTCATTGCCTTCCTTTGCCCTTCTTAATTCCTTACTTTCTACAACCATTCTGGAGATGGAGAAAGAACACCGCGCCGAGTCAGATTTATCTGAATTAGCACAGACATTTTCTGGTTCTGTGACTAATACAATTTACTCTGTCAGTTGTAAATTTAGAATGACTACATCACCGATACATATCACAAAGACAGCCCTTCTCACCCAGCCCTTCGGATTTTAATATACTGAAGTCTTTCTAGATTTGAGTTGTAATTATTTGAGTCTTCAGTCAAGATTCCGTTTTCTCTGCATACTCTCTAGCTTAATCAAAAGGATTTCTTGAATTTCAGGAAACACTAAATTTTAACAACTTCAGCTGCATTTTAAAAAATACTTTAAGATACAATCGATCGATTTGTATTTGATTTGCATTTCCCTTACAATTTAAAATGTATACATTTAAAGTGTACAATTCATTGTATTAGTAGTGTAGTCAGATTTATGCAGCCAGCACCACAATCAACTTTAGAACATTTTCATCACCCCAAAGCAGTCGTTCCACATTTCCAACCCCCACCCCCACAGCCCTAAGCAACTACTACTAATCTACTTTCTGTCTCTGCAGATTGAACTATTCTGGACGTTGCATATAAATGGAACGATACAATATGTTAGATGGGAGTCACTCAAGAAACTGACCGCGCCAGTGAGCTAAGGAGCACGGTTTATTAGTGGGGAATAAGAGGGAAAGTGGAGCCAGCCTAGAGAGGTTAAGACTCATGGGGGAAAGTGAGGCCAACCAAGGGGGGTTGGAGAGCCAACCAAGTGAGGTTAGGACTCGCTCGGTTGTTCTTAGGGCAGGGTTTTTAAGCTCAAAAACCTGCAAAGGGTAACTGGTTGGGGTGTCAGAGTCTGATTGGCTAGAGCTGGTTGCTGGGTGCCATTTCTGCTAACCATTGTTCTTGATACATCTTGTCAGGCTCAAGTTAAAGCTGCATCCTGTTATGCCGGATAGGCCGACCCAGACCCCAGTCTCAGCCAGGCATCTGTTTGTTTGGGGTAGGGTCGGCAGGCAGTTTCCCAGGCAGACATTTCTCCCAGGCTATACAAAAAGTTTCCCACAGTACAGTTTTCCCACCTGGTCATTTCCCATTCCTGCTAGGCCTACCTAGGTCTGTCACAATATATATAGTCTTTTGTGACAGGCTTCTTTCACTTGGATTAATATTTTCAAGGTTCACCCATATTGTAGCGTGTACCAGTACTTTATCCTATTTTATGGCCAAATAAAATTCCATTGTTTGCATATGGCACATTCTATTTATCCATTCATCAATTGATGGACGTTTGTGTTGTTTCCACTTTTTGTCTACTAATGAATAATGATGCTATGAACATTCATGGACAAATTTTGAGTGGAAGTGTGATGTGGACATATTTTTCTTGGGTATATATACATAGGAGTGGAAATGTTTGTTCACAAAATAGCTTTATATTTCACTTTTTGAGAAACTACCAGTTTTGCAAAACAGCTATACCATTTTATTTTATTTTGTGTGTGTGCAATAAAAAGTCTTTATTTCATGGGATTTTTTTCCTTCTTGGGGGAAAAAAAAAACTCTCACAGAATGGTCAAGTCTTCAGATCAGGCGGTGTAGAATACAGAGGAAATGGTGACAGCATTAGTGCACTTTGGCCTAAGATGCTACAAACACATAATGAATAGCTGGGGATTTCTGACACACAACTGTGTGACATAGAAAGCCAAACGACTAGCCATCCTCAACCGAGGGCAGCTGCTGCTTGCATTTGCTTTTTGTAAAGGTCCAGCTATACATTTTACATTCCCACAGCAATGCATGAGTTCCAGTTTCTCCGCATCCTCACCAACACTTATTATCTGTTGATTTTTTATTGATTACAGCCATACAAGTTGATATGAATAATATCTCATTGTGTTTGTGATTTGCATTTCCCTAGTAAGTAATAATGTTGAGCATGTTTTCAAGTGCTACTGACTATTCTTTTATTTTCCTTAGAGACATGTCTATTCAAATCATTTGGTCATTTTTACATTGGGTTATTTGTGGGGTTTTGTTGAATTGTAAAAATTCTTTTTTTAATTATATTTTATTCATTATGCTATTACCATTGTCCTGATTTTTTTCCCCTTACTCCCTCAGGCAATACCCCCACCATTGTTCATGTCCTTGGGTCATGCAAATAAGTTCTTTGGCTACTCCATTTCCTATACTGTACATCCCCATGGCTATTCTGTAACTACCCATTTGTCCTTCTTAATCCCCTCACCTTTTCACCCATTCTCCCCCTCATCCCTCTCAGCTGGCAACCTTCCGGTAATTAACTTGCTTTTGACAGTCTCTCTTTACTGTTAATCTTTGGCCTTTTAATAATGATGTGTCTTGGAGTGGGCCTCTTTGCATCCAGCACAAATGGGACTCTCTCTGCTTCCTGGACTTGCATGTCTATTTCCTTCACCAGATTAGGGAAGTTTTCTTTCACTATTTTTTCAGATAGAGTTCCAATTTCTTGCTCTCTCTCTTCTGCTTCTGGCACCCCATGATGTGAATGTTGGAATGCTTTTAGTTGTCCCACATGCTGTTTACACTGTTCTCATTTTTTTAATTCTTTTTTCTTCTTGTTGTTCTGCGTGGTTGTTTTTTGCTTCCTTATGTTCCAAACCATTGATATGATTCTCAGCTTCATCCACTCTACTCTTGTTTCCTTGTAAATTGTCCTTTATTTCTATTAGCATATCCTTTATTTTTGACTGGGTCTTTTTTATGTTACTGAGGTCCTCACTAAGTTCCTTGAGCATCCTTATAACCAGTGTTTTGAACTCTGCATCTGATAGATTGTTTCTCTCCATTTCATTTAGTTCTTTTTCTGGAGTTTTTATCTGTTGTTTTATTTGGGCCATGTTTGTGTCCTCATTTTGGCAGCCTCCCTGTGTTTGTTTCTATGTACTAGGTAGAGCTGCTCTGACTCCTTGTCTCAGTAGTGTGGCCTAATATAGTAGGTGTCCTATAGGATCCAGTGGCACAGCCTCCCCTATCACCCAAGCTGTGTACACAAGGTGTGCCCTTTGTGTGGAGTCAGTACATCCTCCTCTGTAGCTGAGTTGGTTGCTGTTGACATATCGATGGGAGGGATTTATCCAGGCCAGTCACCTGCAAGGACTGGCTGTGACCACTTACCACCACTCTCTGCCCCTGTGGAGGATCAGGTGTGCAGGGACAGGATGGTGGTGCTCCTATGTTGTCTGTAGCTGTCCACTGGGTGGGTTGGCCCTGGGGTTTCCTGGGTGGTTGCAGACCAAGGTCAGCCCCCACCTGTATTTTGCCCAGGGCCACCCTGCCTGAGCTGTAAAGCAGTCTGAGGTGGCTGATACTTGCACTGGGCTTGGAGATTCCCAGGCCCAAGCTGTGAATCTAATCTGGCTACTGCTAGGGCTCACAAAAGCCAGCTGCTGCTTTTTTGATAGGATTTAGGAGCCAAGACCAGCCATTCTTATGGAAAGGCAGTTTATAGTGGGCCCATAAGTTGGGTGCGGTAGAGACTCTAGTGGTCTCTAAAGTAGGCTTCACAGTGTTAGCCAGGCTGATGGAGTCTCAGATATGGCACCAGCCTACCAGCTCCATGTGGGGAGATCTCAGCATAAGAACAATGGCCTTTACTCGCCTTGACGCCAGACACTTCAGTCTCTTCCTGTATACCACTGGTGCCCTTCAAGCTGCCACCTCGGTGCTGGAACTCAGAGGTGGCAAATCTGAGTAGGTGTGTCCATGTGTTGGTTCCCTGAGGGACTGCTTAGGGCTCCAGCAGCCTCCTCCAGCCACTCAATCCCTGTTGGTTTTCATAGCCAGAAGTTGTGGGGATTTATCTTCCTGGCACTGGAATCCTGGGCTGGGGGGGGCCTGGTGTGGGTCTGGCACTCCTTGCTTCTGAGATATCCCTCCTGAATTTTTATCCATATGGGTGTGGGGCTCTAATGGAGTACTAAGCTAGAGGTCCCCCCACCCCAAGATGAAAAGCCCCACAGCTATCATGTGGGGGATCTGCACTGGCGGATGTAGCTCCGTGGGTTGAGGGAGGGCCTGCAAAGGGTTGCCAGTTCAATTCCCCATCAGGGCACAGGCCTGGGTTTCAGGCCAGGTTCCCACTGGGGGGTACATGAGAGGCAACCACACATCGATGTTTCTCTCCCTTACCCTCTCTCTAAAAAGAAATTAATTTAAAAAAAGATTTTATAATAAAAAGGGGCATTTTTTTTGTGTGCCAGACCTGTATCTTCTACCATTTGGTTGACAGCCTTTCTGTTTTGTTGATGGTCTCTTTTGAGTTTGATGTAGTCCAGAGACTTGAGAACTTAAATATTTTATTTTATGGCTACTTAACTTTTTTAACTTAACAAATCAGGCATTACCACTCAGCTGTGTTTGGTGTTGAATGAATCATGAAAACACATGTTGATGGATTATAAATTAATCTTGCCCTGGCCAGGTGGCTCAGTTGTTTGGACCATGGTCCAATACACCAAAAAAGAACCCCCCAAAACTTTTGGGTTTGATCTCAGGTCAGGATGCTTACGGGAGAGAAACTGATTCATGTTTTGTCTCCAATGTTTCTCTCCCTCTCTCCCTTTGCTAAATTCAATAAACATATCCTCAGATAAGGATTAAAAAAGAGAGAGAGAGAGAATCCTAGACATCTAGATATGAGCATTGGGTGTAGTGAGAAGAGGATTGGTCAGGAAACTTGGGTTCTAGTTTCAGTTGTGACTGCTAGCTTTATAAGTAGTGTCTGTGCCTAGAAATAGGGCTGCATTTTTTTTTAAGTGAAAGAAGGGGCCTTTATACTTCTGTCTAGCTCTGAAATTTTAAGCAGAGCCATAAAAACTCTGCATGATTAATTTAATACAGCTTACTTCACTTTTGGAGAGTCCTAATTGCTAGAAAATTAGTCCTTAAATTTGAATTTAGTTAGTTCCTAGACATATGGCCAAGTTAATCTTATTACTCAGTCTCTGAAAATGCAACAATAAGCCATATGGTAATTTTCCTTTTACTAGTGCTTTATGAGGTATTAATACAGCAACTTCAGGGTTGTGTTTTTAGTATTAGCATGATATGCCTTTTTAACCTATACATACCATCATGTTTCAGGTGGTTTCCTGTACATGGTGTATTTTTTTTTAATCTAACTTTTGCATTTTAATTGCCATATTAGATCACTTAAATTTTTTATATTGTTGGTTATCAGTCTGCTGGTCTACCCTTTATCATTAATTTGTTACTTGTCACCTCTGTTTGTTACTGTTTTCCTTTCTGGCCTTCTTCTTAATTACTTGAAATTTTGGGGGGTTCCATTTTAATTCATATATTGCCTTTTTAAAATATACTGCTGTGGATAGTTGCGTTTTTTAAATGGTTGCTCTAGAGATTATTGCATACTCAAATTTTTGCAATCTATTTAGAATCTTTTATCCCTTCAAGTAAAATACAGAAACCATGCTATAATCATATAGATCCCTTACTATCCCCCCATTAGAATGGAATTCTCATACGTATTAGATCTATATACATTGAAATTCCTGTCAATGTTATGCTTTTTTATTTCAGCAATTATACATATTTTAACAAACCTAAAATATGGAAAAAAATCTATTTACTCAGCTATTACTTCTGTTTCTCTTCCTTCTTCAGGGTTCCCTCTGCTATCATTTCCTTACCTGTGATTTTTCTTTAGTATTTCCTTTAAAGCAGGTCTACTGGCAATGAATTCTTAGTTTTCCTCCCTCTGAGATTATTTTTATTTTACTTTTCTTTATTTTATTTTATTTTTTTTAAGATTTTATTTATTTTTAGAGAGGGAAGGGAGGGAGAGAGAGAGAGAAAGAGAGAAACATCAATGTGCGGTTGCTGGGGGTCATGGCCTGCAACCCAGGCATGTACCCTGACTGGGAATCGAACCTGTGACACTTACTTTTCTTTTCTTTTTTTAAAAATTCTATTTATTTATTTAATTTTTTAGAGAGGGAAGGGAGGGAGAAAGAGAGAAGAGAGAAACATCAATGTGCGGTTGCTGGGGGCCGTGGCCTGCAACCCAGGCATGTGCCCTGACTGGGAATCGAACTTGCGACACTTTGGTTCGCAGCCCGTGCTCAATCCACTGAGCTACGCCAGCCAGGGCTATTTTACTTTTCTTCCTGAAGGATATAATTGTTTGTTAAAAGATTCTGGGTTGATAATTGACTGTTGTTTTTAAGCACTAAACACATGTTGTTCCACTGTCTCTGGCCTCCAAGATTTTTTTTTTTAACTTTTTAACATTGTTCTTCGATTACAGTTGTCCCATTTTTCCATTACTCTCCCCAGCAACCCCCCCCCCCACCATGTTGTCTTTATCCATGGGTCCTTTATATATGTTCTTTGCCCCATTATCCCCCTTATCCCCCTCCCCTCTGGTTACTGTTGGTTATTTCCATGTCTCTGGTTCTATTTTGCTCCCTTGTTTGTTGATTAGGTTCCACTTATAGGTGATATCATACGGTATTTGTCTTTTACTGCCTGGCTTATTTCACTTAGCAGAATGTTCTCCAGATCTTTCCATGCTGTCAAAAAGGGTAGGAGCTCCTTCTTTCTTTCTGCTGCATATTACTCCATTATGTAAATATACCATAGTTTTTTGATCCACTCAATTTACTGATGGGCAGTTAGGCTGTTTTCAGCACTTGGCTTGGCCTCCATGATTTCTGATGAAAAGTTGTCCTTAATTCAAATCTTTGTTCTTCCACATGAACAGTGTCATTTTCCTCTGGCTGTTTTCAAGACCTTTTCCTTGTTTAGTTAGGATGTGCCTGGTTATGGTTTTTTTTTTCTTCCAATCTTTTGAGACTTGCATGACTTTTTGATATTGTCCCATAGGTCCTTAAAGCTCTTTATTTTTTTCTACTTTTTTCTCTTTGTTATTTAGACTGGATATATTCAAATTCACTCACTCTCCCCTTAGTCATCTACATTCTACTATGAAGACTCCTCAGTAAATTTTTTGTTATTGCATTTTTCAATTCTAAAATTTCTACTACTAATATATATATATATATATATATATATATATATATATATATAGCTTCTATTTCTTTGGCTGGGACTTTTCTTTCCATTCATTTCAGTAGTGTTTACCCTTGCCCTGGCCAGTGTGGCTCAATTGGCTGAATTTTTGAGTTCTTCACTATAAATAGCATGCTACATTTGTATTAAAAAAATGCAGAAAAAATATATGTATGTATATATTTGCCGCAACTGCACCTAAACCTTAGTAAGATACACAAAACTAATTCAATTGATTACTTGTTCAGTTTGGAGAATGGAAAGGACAACGTATATGCATACAAGGTGGGAAATGAAACTTACATTTGTAAGTTTTTACTTTTTTTGATATTTGAATCATGTATATATGGGACTCAGCAGAAGTAATGCCTGCTTCAATGTGGTTGGTAGGGTATTAATATGGGTATAATCATTTATAGTTTTTACTTATTTTTTGAGACAGAGATGGAAGGAGAGAGGGAAACATCCATGTGTGGTTGCTTCTCAAGCATCCCCTACTGGGGACCCAGGCATGTGCCCTGACTGGGAATCGAACTAGTGACCCTTTGGTTTGCAGGCCAATGCTCAATCCACTCAGCCACACCAGCCAGGGCTAATAATTTATAGTTTTAATATGAACTTTCACCTAAAATGTCATATGGCGAGCTTAAGTGTGATACTGTTATGTTACTGAACTACATGCTTATGATTTTGCAATAAAAGGTTTTGTAATAAAAGAAGCATTATTTGTGTTGGACCCTGTATATTACATATATGAAACAGTTTTTTTAAAATCACAAAGAAGAATGAAAGCCTAGGATGGTTTGGAGGTTTCTGGTTTATTTCAAGATATTTTCTTTTAAGATATGAGTCAAGTTATCAAAGTTATGTTTGCTATTTTAAAAAAGCTCTGTTATTCACTTATGAAACAGTATCTAAATCCAAGTTTATAAACTTAGGTGACTTGAGACACTACACTCAGGCTACTACTTTTATAATAATTAAATTATTAAGGTAAGATATTCACACAAACACAAAAAACTCTTTAAATTGCCTTAAAAGGGGAAGTTGGTCTTTTTATATATTACTTACTTTGGAGATTTTTAACTCTTGCATAGACAAGTTTAGTGACCACTCTCTAACAGGTTCTCAGGTTGCCTTCTCTATTGGCATAGCTATCCTCCAGGGTTGTTTTCCAGCCACCTCTTGTAGATCCATATTTCTAACACAGCAATTACTTTAACTTTGTTAATGATCTGCTTCACACATTCAGCTCCAAAAGGAAAAGAACTATTTTATTCATCTTTCAACCAGTGAAGGCTAATAAAGTGCTCTGCATATAGCAAGTATATAGACACAAAGTTTGTTGGATGGCTGCCCAAAAGAGGCTAGATTTTACTTCGTATTTCAAAAGTCAGAGAAAGAGAGTAGTATTAAAAGGTATAAGACCAAAACCAGATCATTGCAGACTGAGTACAAACAACCATTTTCTTTTTTCACCTTCAAAAAAATTAAAATTTCAAATTAAGTTCCAACATGAAGAACATGACCAAATAAGTAACAAATATATTCAGAATCATACATCTATAAAGAAATCTTTAAAAGGTGCCTCCAAATTCCATAATTCTAATTCTTATGAAATGTAGAAATTTTTTTAAAATAAATCCAAAGCTATCCTATCATGGGAACTTCCCTCCACCATATAAGGGCCAGTATTCCTAGATTGTGCAGTTATTTATTGTAAAATAAATACACACTATGTAAAGAACACATAAACTGAGTTTGATATGTAATTGTTTTTACTTTATACCATTTCAATAAACTTCACAAGTTATTACATGTTACCATTTTATTTAATATCTGCAACATGTTACATTGTTTATGAAGTAGCTACTTCCAGAAGACTAATACTCTCCTCCATACTGTGTCTTTGGCTAGTACAACACAGGTGATTTAGTAGGAACCTATGGCCAATCTGATTAAAATTCTTAGTCTCTCCTAGCCTGAGACCTCAGGCCCTGAGTTAACCTTGACTTGGTCTTCAAGTTGAGATGCTTCCTAAATATTTTTTTAAAGCACAGCTATTTAGTGTAATTTCATTTTCTTGAGATACACAGTTGTTTTGATACAAAAACATACACAACATCCCACATAAGTAAAAAAGCATCAAAATATGATTATATTTTATATAACTTAAATGACAGTAGTAACTAAAATATACTGATTATTTTTTTAACACAACATACTTCTCTTATTTTGCTGTCTGAAGTAAAGAAGAAAGCTCTGTAAGTTTTAAATACATAGAATTTAACTTATGTTAATATTCTGTTATAAAAAATAACTACCATATAAAGAATTTAAAATATGCAAAAGTAATTAGTTCATTAAAATTTATAATTAATACACTGGTGTCAATGAAAATATGTAGACTTGCCTAGAAACTTCTAAGGTTTAAAGCAGAGGTAAAAAAAAAACCTGTTTCAGGCCTCATTTATTGCTACATAATGACTACTTCAAGGGTCATCTGGCCTGTTGTCAATCACTATTATAAGTGGCAACTACAATGGTATATTTTGGAAAGAAAGGAGGAAAAATAATATACTGCAATACAAAAATATTGCCTATTTATAAATTATTAAAGATTTATAAAACACATACTGAATCATGTTGTTATAAAAACAATATACTTAAATATATAAGCACAAATCCCGAAGCACCCACAATTATTTTAAGAATACCCATTTAATCAAGGAAAAAAACATGTAATAATTTGAGAAGAAAAAGGGCAAAATTCTGATTTTAATCCAGAGTTCATCTAGTCATGGAGGTAGGTCTCCACTCCAATTATACAAATAAGTTATCTGCCTTATTCAAAGAATTATCAAGTCTAATATGGAAACTGGTCTGTGCCATTTAAATACATTTTAACAGACTTTAGAAACTGGTAATCTAACTGGCATATACACAAAACAGATTATTTCCCTCAGTAAGGTTACATCTGAAAAGAGCCTTCATTAAAATTGATCTTGGCATCAAGAGGTGTTACCTAAGTGCAGATACTTTGGCGTAGCATTTAAATAACACAGTAATGCTACACATTTCTTAAAAACAGAAGTAATCCTTGTCTTTTTAGTATTTTAAGTGTGAAGCTTCAAAAACTAGATCTCATAAATTTATAGACTAAAATTGTGCTAATGATTTAAAAAAGATCATTCCTGCCTATAAAGCAAAGCTTTTTATGTGTTTCAAACATCAAACATACTTACTTTTAGTGTTTGTGGCCTTTCAGGTTTAGTGCTGGAGTTAGTTTTAACACATCAGCTTGCAATATATAATAATATGATTTACTAACATCTTTTCACTAAAAAAGGTTTTCTATAATGAAAAACACTAATTCCATCTCTAATGGTAAATTAGCAGAGTTGGAGGTCCCACCATGGATCACAGGGATGAGAGCACTATCAAGGTCATTCAGGTAATGCTGAGGAAGAAGTCGGCCTTCAGATCCTGCCTGAAATTCAACCTGGAAAAAAAAATCTTGATAAGTCAACCCCAGAAAGTAAGCAATCTTGAGTAGCCCTGCAGATAAATAGAAAATAAACTTTAAAAATCCCGTTTAAGCATCTTAAGTAAATGACTGACATTTTATTCACAATATACTCTCCTGTATTTTTTATCCATCTATTACATAATTAGTTCATTAAAATTTATAATTAATACACTGGTGTCAATGAAAATATGTAGACTTGCCTAGAAACTTCATCCCACAGATGGCATTAAAAATTTTTAAAAATTGCCACAAATTCATACTTTAGGTTTCTTCTCAATGAACATGTAAACACATTGGAAGGGTAAGGTTTTGAATGATTACCAACATGACTTAAATAAAAACCCCATAGTATTAAAAAGTAATCTACTTTAAAATATTTTGAATTTGTTGCATAATATTTAATACTTGAATCTAATGTGGATGAAAATTACATTGTAATTTGACTAAAATATATTAACAGTGCTTACTCAAATAACAAATAATTACCAGATGTTTCCTGGAAAAAGGAACTTTTAACAGTGAGATGAAAATATAAGTTCTTTCCAATAAGAGCTACAACACATCTTGGCTGACAAAGAGCAAAATTTCAGCACATGAACTCGTTAGTGTTTAGATAAACCACTCTAATGAAGACCCTGCTTTGACATCTATTATTTTGGATGTTGGAAATAGTTAGAAATGCACATTAAAATAATAGCTGGAGTTCCATTTTTTACCTATCAAACTCATAAAGTTCAGAAGTTTGATTACATACTGCTCTGATAAGGATGTGGAGGGAAAGAATGCTCTCACAAATTATGATAGAAATATAAATTGGCATAACCTCTACTTGAGACAGTGTGGTAATACCTATTGAGTATATTCTTGGACCTCATAATTCTACCTCTGGGCATGTTTCTGACATACACTTATGCAAAGACAAAATACTGTGGATAACCAAATGTCAATTAGTATATACCAAACATGCACAAGAACCACTGAAATACATTATAGTACATTTATTTAATAAACTACTACTATGCAACTTAAAAACATACAGTAACATGAAATATCCCTAAGATAAATGAAAGAAACTAAGTTAAAAAAAAAAGTGTAAAGGAGGGGGTAAAAGGACACACACTTGTTTGCTTCTTCATGTATAAAATCACAAGGACTTTGTAGAAATGGGTAACATTTGATTGCCTCACCAGGAAGGAAGAATGAGAGGGAGCATGGAAGCAGACTAAAGTTTGGAGTTAAGGGTAGGAAGGAGATCTTTTCAAGTCTATTACTGTACACAGCTGCACTGGGCATCATCTATACTGTAGCAGGGAGTTAAGGGGCCAATTACAGAGACTACAGTGTGAATACTGCTCTCTGGAAATGTTCAATGAGGTTGTACTGTTACATATACAGTTTTAGTGTAATTTTAAATCATGTGCGTATACAGTCTATTCAGAATAATAAATTTAAAAACCTACTTATCAAGCAGGACTGTTGTGGAGCAGGGGTCAACAAACAAGTTTCACTGGAATACAACCAGCTTGTTAGCTTACATACTGTGGAAGGCTGCTTTTGCACTATAATGGGAAGAGCTGAGGAGCTGTGAAAGAGACCCTTCAGCCCACAATGCCTAAAATATTTGTTGTCTAGACTTTTATACAAATGTTTGCATAATGAACAAAACAAACGAGCAAAACAGAAACAGAAACATGGAAATAAGGAACAAACTGACAGTGACCACAGAGGGGAGTGGGTAGAAGGATAACGAGGGAAAGAAGGGGAAGGATCTAATCAAGAAGCATGTATAAAGAACCCATGGTAATAGATAACAGAGTGGGGACCGACTGAGGGAGGGGGAGTGGGACAGGGGAGAACAACAGGGGAAATATTGGAACAACTGTAACCAGAAACAATAAAAAAAAAAGTTTGCTGACCCACTGTGAAAAGTAAAGGAGATAATGTATATGAAGTGTATGTACATATTAATGTTCAACAAATATTTGTTGTTTTCATTCATCAAAAAATAAAAGGTAAAGAAAAACCTTTGATCATTTTAATATATGATCCATTCATTTCAAAAATATATCACAAAAACATGCCTCACCATATCAGTGTCAATGGAAACTCTGAGGCCAATTTTATTCATCCCATTACTCTTTAGAGTTTTCAGATGAGGGCACAGTGCAGCACTACAAGCCATGGCTATTTCTTTTGCAAACTGATAACGAGTTGCTGAAATAGATAAATCCTGGTCCTTTGGAAAGTAGAACACCTGAAATGTATATAATTAGGAAACAAGTCATGATTTTAAAATACAACAATTATTCCTTTGGATTCAACTTTATTAATAAAATTCCAATGTTATTGTCATGAAATTCACTGGCTTAAGAGTAATACATATATGAGCATCACATACACACACACACCATGATCTGTAAGTTGATTTCAGTAGGTGGCAATGCCTTAACTGTATGCGTGTTGTTAGGCCCAAGGGCCTCTTCCATCCTTGTCAAGGGGAGTGCTAACCTTCTCTCCTTTCATACAACACTGTAAGTAGATTTAAAATCAAAGGTTATGGAATTTAGGACTGACTTAAAGTTAGTCATATTTTTGCCTAAAGTTAATCAGTAGCAACGAAAGCCTTGTTAACTCAGTTTGGAAAAGGATCCTAATAAGTCTTCCCTATAAAATCACCGTTCTATAAGGACATCTTAATGAAGTTAAGATGAAACAAAGAAATAATGTTCTATAATTTCTATATCCTCTGTAGTTTCTATCTTGTGCATGCAGAAAATCACAAAGAATATATACACAATGAGTAACACTGCCTGACCTGGGAGGGTGAGTATGGAGGTGGACTAAGGGTTTAGGAGTCTATATTTTCATATTCTCTTCTTAAGAAAGAAAGGAAGGAAGGAAAAAAACATTTAAAAATAACTTGCATATGTGATTATAAATAGATGTAAGATATTTTAATTTTTGTAAAATAGGATAAAAATGAAAATAATATGGTAAGCCCTGGCTGGATGGCTCAGGTGGTTGGAGCATTGTCCAGTACACCAAAAGGTTGTGGGCTCGATAACTCTGAGCTGGCGGGTAATACCATCATACAATAGTCTGAAATAATACTATAGAAATACAAATCTGATGTTATAAAAGGAAGTCTAGTAAGAAATATGTGTCTCAAGGTGTAATGTAAAAAGTGTATGTAATAAGCTGTACTTAAACATTCAGAGGTTGAGTACTATAAAATCTCCCAGATAAAAAAACAAAAACCATATCCAAATGCAGCATGTAAGGGGAAGAAAATCTTTCTCAGTTACCTCAGTACACTTGACGATCTTCTCATCAGTTTCAAAATCTGTTTCCAGTTTTATTTTTTCACTTGGAAATCCCTGTAATGATATTCCATCCACAGAACTAATAACACTACGGAATAAAACATAGTACAACAGAATTATTATTACTAAGGTGCTTCTTAGAAATGAATTTTTAGACTTGAACAAATGTCATAAGGGGAAAAATTGTGAAAGTTATAAATTTAAACCAGCAGTATTGTATCTATTTTTTCATACGTGCAATTCAGACCTGGGGTTTAAAATTAGTTAAATAGTCTCCTAACAAAAAAGTTGTTTCATGAATTTCAAAAATTCTATTTTAGTATCCTTCAGCATTAGTTCTCTTCTCCCTTCTTTGCTTCAGACCCCTTAGCCATTCTAGAGAGCGGGGAGGGAGGGAGGGAGGGAGGGAAGGAGGGAAGGAGAGAAGGAAGGAGGGAAGGAAGGAGGGAAGGAAGGAAGGAAAAATGGGTAACTGAAAAGAGGAAGGAATGGCAGTAATATTCTGTAAGGCCTCTAAAGTATATATTATTAAATTCAGTGTTTGTATTTACAGTGAATCAATATAAAACAATACACATCCAAAGGGGATCATTCACCTACTTGACAAAAATAGGTACCATACCACAGAGAAAGTGCCTTGCCTGTCTCAGCCCAGGCATTAAGCCTAAGCTGCTATAAAATAGACATTTTGTCACTGGCCACCTCTCAATTGACCACCCTTCAATAATTTACAGCATCCTGGCCAAGGAAACACATGGGTCTGGTTAGGCACATGTCTGAAAAAATCAGACTGCATTCATTAATTGGAGTATAAGCACTGAAATCCATGGTATAATTCTGTATTTATTCATAAAATATTTCTTTTTATTAACAGAATGTTTTTCTCTCTCCCTCTCCCATCAAATCAGTTACATTTCAGCAACAGAGAGTTCCTACCCTTTGTTTCCTTTTTCTTCAGAATCCACCCAGCAGATATCCACATATTCTCTCAGGTCTACAGCATCAGCTTTCCCACATGTAATTTTAAAGTCTTTTTGTTCTCGTAGAGCTAGCCGCAAGCCATCCATGGTCTCTGGAGTTATTTGTACCATTAAGCCATCTAAAAATGAGAGTTATGTTTCACATTTATTTTACTAAATACCAATTTATATGTCTAAGCCACATATATGCGTGATCCTTGGACATGGGGGTGGGATGGGTGGAGGAGGGCAAAGGAGGAAAAACTGGGACAACTAATAACAAAAACAAAAAAAAATTAAAAGAAGAAAAAGAAAAAATTTGTATGTCTAAGCCATAAAATTTGTATCAAAATACAAATGTATTTTGTTCTGTGCAAGATATGTTTTAAATCATCTGTTAAATCATCTTAATGGTTGTTTTCTATTAGAAAATAAAACATTTCACAAAGTTAAGGATTCTTTCTTTAACAGTAAAAAAAATTATTATTTTTTTTAAATTTCTGTCCTGGCAGGTGTGGCTTCGTGGGGCACTGTCCCGCAAACCAAAAGATCACAGGTTTGATTCCTGGTGAAGGCCCATGCCTGGATTAAGGGTTCAGTCCCTGGTCAGGGAGCAGATGAGAGGTAACTGATCCATGTTTTCCTCTCACATCAATGTTTTTCTCCCTCTCTCCCTCCCTTCCCCTCTCTCTAGAATCAATAAAAGAAAAAACATTAATGGTAAAAAAAGAAAATTTTGAAGAAAGGTTAAAAAAAATTCCACTACTGGCTATGATACCAAACTAGCCTTATCAAAATAACCATAAAACTAGACAAAATGTATGTGGCAATTATTGCAGGTAGTAGACAGCAGGAAGTGCAATACCATGAGCCCACAATTGCCCAGGGTCTCTTCTTGGGACAATTTCTACATGGTGATCCATTAAGCCTGTAATGGCCCTACAGACCTAAAAAGCCAGAAATAACAGTCTGGGGCATCCTGGAATCTGGGGTCAAGACAGTGAAGAAGGGGCACCAGAAGTGGTCACTTTGCATCCTTTGACTAGAACTGGGGAAAAGGGATGAGGTTTGAGTTCAATTAGCAATGGCCAGTGATTTCATCAATCATGCCTACATAATGAAACTTCCATGAAAACCAGTAAAATCCAGGGTGTAGAGAGCTTCTGAATTGGCGAACAGATCAAGGTACTAGAGGGTGATGTGATGGAAGGGTGGTATGGCTGGAGAGGGCATAGAATCTCCATGATGCCTTCCCACATACCTTGCCCTATGCTTATCTCCCATTTGTCTGTCCCTAGTTATATCCTTTACAAATGTTTTATAATGAACCAGTAAACACAAAGTATTTCCTGAGTTCTATGAGCTATTCTAGCAAATTACTGAACCTGAGGAGGAAGTGGTAGGATCCTGTTATGTATAGCAGTTAGATAGATGTATTAAGAGGCCCCAGACTTCTAACTGGCATCTGAAATGGGGGGCAGTCTTGTGGGACTGAGCCCTTAACCTGTGGGGTCTGTGCTATACATAACTCTGGGTAGTTAATGTCGGAATTTAATTGAATTGTTGGATACCCAGTTAGTGTCAGAGAACTATAAAATTAGTTGATGTGAGGAAAAACCACACATTTGGTATAAGAGGTGATGTGAGTAAAAACCTTTATCACTGAAAAAACTAAATCATTGATGCTGGATCAATTCCTATTCAAATGCAGAAAAATGTCTATGAATCCCTACCTTACACATACATAAAAATAAAGTCCACATACATTTAGGACTTATGTATTAAAGGCAGTACTTTAAATCTTTGGGGACAAAACAGGAGGACATCTTTTTAACCATAGGGTAGAAAGATTTCTTAAAAAGCATTAACCATAAAAGATTAATAAATTATATGTATTAAAATGAAGACCTTCTATTAAAAAGACACTATAAAATGGTGGAAGAAATCTACAATATATAAAAAAACTATGTAACTATAATTCAGTTAGAAAAATGGGTAAAAGATGTGAATAGGCATTTCATAGAAAAAAACTATATATATGTCCAGTAAATAGGTCATAAGATGCTCTCTTTATTACAGGCATGCTAAGTATGACAATATTCAGAGATACCTACCAGATTGACGCAAATTAAGTAGTCCAATAAAACTATGTTTGGTTGAAAGATCTCCAAGATGGCAGCCTAGCTAAACATGCTTGCCTCCTCACACAACCACATCAAAATTACAACTAAATAACAGAACAACCATCACTCAGAACCAGCAGAAATCGAGCTGAATGGAGGTCCTGCATCCATAGAATTAAAGAAGAAACCACATCCATCCAGACTGGTAGGAGGGGCTGAGACATGGAGATGTGGAGATGTGGACTGGGCTGGTCCCACACCCAAGTGTGCTGGATAAAAATCAAGAGGGATATCTCAGGAGCCCCACACCAGGATCCCCAGCCTAGGGTTCTAGTGCTGGGAAGATAAGTCTCTGTGGTTACTGGCTGTAAAAACCAGTAGAGATGGAGTCAGTGGAAGAGACTGCTGGATTCCCAGGCAGTTCCTCTTAAATGGCCCACACACAGACTTACTCAGATTCACTCCCACTAAGCTCCAGCACAGGGGTAGCAGCTTGAAAGACACCATGGCATACAGGGCGGAACTGAAGTGTCTGGCATCAGGGCGAGAGACGGGGGACAGCTTTCTTTAAAAGAAAACTGCTGACAAGAGACCAGTGCTCCTCTTCTGAGCCTTCCCACAATATCCCTGAGTGTGGCAGGAATCATATCTGAGACTCCATCAACCTGGCTCCCACTGTTTGCCCCACGCTGGTGATTCCCTGAGACTCAGCCCCACCCAACTTACCGGTCCACCCAAGCAGTTATAGTGGATTTTCCATGTGAATAACTTGTCTTTTCTCATGCTTCTGATCTTCCTAAATCCTCTCAAACAAGCAGCACCTGGCATCTTCAAGGCCCTTGTACCTTGGTAAGTGGCCCCAGGCCCAGAACTAGTAACAGCTACCCTTGCTTCAAAGCCTGGCCTCACTAGGGCACCTCCAAGCCCAGCACAAGAAGCAGCCAGCTGAAGATCGTTTCATAGCTTATGCCAAGTGGTACCAGACAGAATACAAGTGGGCACCAGAGCCCTGCTGAAGTAAGCCCTGCCATGTGGAGTGGGCCTCTGCACAGCTGATCCTCCACTGAAGGTAGAGGGTGGTGGCCAGTGGTTAAAGCTAATCCTGGCAACAAAGCTATAATTTAGAATTGAAGGGCGGATACAAAGCTTCCCAGACAAGAAAAAGCTAAAGGAGTCCATTATCACCAAGCCATTATTATATGAAATGTTAAAGGGATTTATTTAAGAAGATCAAAACTATGAACAATAAAATGGCAGTAAACACATATCTATCAACAACAGAATCTAAAAAACAAAGCAAACAAGCAGAACAGAATAGATATGGAGACTGGTTTGATGGCTGCCAGACGGCAGGGGGGTTTAGAGAATAGGTAAAAAGATGAAGGGATTGAGAAGCACAAATTAGTAGTTATACAATATTCATGGTGATGTACAGCATAGGGAATGGAGAAGCTAAAGAACTTACACAGGTGACCCATGCACATGAACAAGGGTGTGGGGACTGCCTAAGGGACTGGGGGGTGCTGGGTGGAGGGGGACAAAGGGAGAAAAATTGGGACAACAGTAATAGCATAATCAATAAAAATATAATTTTAAAACTATGTTTGAAGAAAATATATCAATGGGAACTCATATATTCTGATGATAACAATTTAGCAGTATCTTATAAAGTTGAACATTTTCTAATCTATTTGCCTAGAAATTCCACTCCTGGAGATATACTCTAGAGATACTCTTAGACATGTGCCCAGTGTCAACACACACCAATAAGAATGCTATTAGCACCACTGTTCATATTAGCAAAAAAAGAGAACCAACCCAGATGTCCACGATTAAAAAATAAATTGTCATACATTCACAGAATAAAATATTTAATAGCACTGAAAATGAATAAGCTACAGTTGCTGGCAACAACATGCATAAATTTTAGAGACATAATGTTGCATGAAAATAGTAAGTTACATAAGACTATTTCAAGAATATCATTTTTATAAATCTCCCAAATAACCATAAATAAACAATATATTGCTTAGGCATATGTTTATACAGTGTGAAAAAAATAAGCAAGAGAATGAGAAACAGTATTCAGTCTAATAGTTAATTTTTGGAAAGAGGAAGAAAGTATAAAGAGACCCAAATATTGATTATGTTCTAGTTCTTGGGCTGCATAATGATTTCACAGAAGTTTGTGGTATTTATATACAGTCCTTTATGTAACCTTATAACCTACATATATGCTTTTATATAACTATCAAATACAGTTTCAAAAAGAAGTGGAAAACATCTTTACATTAAAACAATGTTAAAGATGAAACTCCTACCTTCAACTATGCTGGACTTAGCAAGATATCCTGAAGATGCTTTTAGAGCTCCATTGAATACCACAAAACTTGCACCTGTCACTGATAAAAAACAAGCAAACAACAATTATATTTTAACCTGCCCTATTTATGTTATATGATATTTGTTAAATATATAATGTGGAGCATGGCACATTTTAAGAATCTAATAAATGTCATGCCCACACCAACTTATATTAGAAAGCTAATAAACAAAATGAAATTAAGGTAAATATTGCATAAAGGTAACTGAATGTTTGTAAAATGTGTGTGTCTGTCTCAGAGAGGGTGTGAGAAAATGAACATCCACTACTGGTGAGAGCATAATCAGAATACTCTCTGGGTGGACCACTTGATAATTATCTATTAAGATTACAAATAAATGTATCCTCTGATACACCAATTCTATTTATAGAAATTAATGGCATGTGTACAAGGTTATTAACAGTATATTTTTATAAATAGCCAGCCAAGAATTGGTAAAAGTTATGCCCATCAATAAGGGACAATTAAATGATGTACATATAAAAGTGGAAAGTTATATGGAATGCAAAAATTTTTTAAATAACATAGAATACTATTCAAACTGTGTTAAGAAAAAGCCATGGGGCACCATGGAACAAATGTTATGACTTATTTTAAAAAGTGGAAGAGGTTGTGGCCTAGAAAATTTTTGTTTCCTTAGACTCAAACTTACATAAAACAAAAATCCTGAACCTCCCATTAAAAATAGGGAGGTGAAAGGGAGATATTTGGATGAGGGAGGTCAAAATAGGAACCACAGAAAGCACACACATACAGAAAACCTAAATATATCCCCAAACAATATATATCCATATTACAGATAAATAGGGCAGTAAGGTTGAATAACTTGCCTATTTTCTCTCTTTCTAGGGATAAATATTTCATCAAGTGTATGTCTTCAATGTGTGTGGGACTACATTTTTAATTGTTAGGCAGAGAATGATAACTGAGGATTTGCCTTAAACTATTAAATCTTTCTTTTCAATAAAAAAAATAGTGGAAAAAAGGGATGTGTGTGTGTGCTTGCTTAAATATACATACAAGCAAAAATGTCTCACACAGGATATACAAGAAACCAGTAACACTGGTTTGGTTGCCTGTAGGGAGGGGAAGACGGTAGCTGGAGGGTCAAGGGAGGAAAAGAGATTTGTACTATAAACATTTATACCTTTTGAACTTATACCATAAATATATACAAATTCAACAAATACTAAACAGCCGTTAAATTTTAATGTCAAAAATATCAGTGACATGGTAAGGAAAGAACAATACAAAAGTGTAAATATTCAGTATAAAATCATCTATTTAACATATATAAATATAAAAAATACAGTAGAAATGTCAACAATGGCCATATACTGACACTTAACTTTTCAAAACATATTTTCCAAGCCCACTACAAATGAGCTTATATACTTTTATAATCAGAAGAAAAAATTTTATTAGCAGACATATGTCAGGCTATTTTAAATATGTAATTTTATAATGATGTATTAACTTATGGAATACTTACTTCCACTTAACTTTCCATTTGTTAGGCCCTATACTGCAAGGGTTTGGTAATCACAGCAGTTGCTGAGGCCATTAGCTAGAACTGAGAGTAAGGTTTTTCAACATGGTATTTATTCCACCATCTTTACCATTTTCTATCCCTAGCCACTTACAGTTTTATAAATTATTCTACATTCTCATTTTCCCTGTGCCCCTGTAATTAAGAGGGTTAGGACAAAGAGTTAAAAAGGTGAAAAAAACCTTCATTTCAAACAGAAATAACAGGAAAAAAAAAGGCTCCCACCATATGGGACATACTATAAGCATGAAGGTATCTATCTATACAGCGTTCCAAATCTTAAATCTAATGTAGCCCAAAAGAAAAACACACATTAGAAGCAATTTTACAATGTTGTGTAGATAAGATTTTAAAGCATACTGTTTTTATCAGTATCAATTCAGCAAATAAGTAATATATATATACATATTTCCTCTTTGAAAGAACTCTATTTATTGAGGTAGTTTAATAGATCAACATTAGGAACCAATACCTTTTCTAGGGTGCCCAGTGGCACTGTTGGCCTGTGTTTGATAAACTCCATCATTCTGTATACAGACTAGATGAGAATCTGCTTCTGTACTAAAACTAGCTCCAATGCTAATGACATGCTCATTAGAAGAATTTATTACTTTCATTACCTGGAAAAAAAAAACACTCATTTAGAAACATTTTTAACATTTTATGCCTTAATCAGTTACACTAATTCAGAATCACATTACTGACCAGCTTCATAATTATCACATTTTAGTATGGACCACTTCCAAAAAAATGTGATAGAAACAAATGTATTAAGATAAAATCACCTCAAGAGAAAACAGTACAAAAAAAAAAAAAGATGAAAAAATAGGATTAAACAAATGCCTGATTAGGAAGCAAATCTGAAATTTCAAAAACAACATTTTGCCATTATATGAGGCCTGTCCAGAAGATATCCATGTAATATGAAAAACAGAGACACTGCTTGAAGAAGATACAAGATACAGGAATCATTGTACACAGGACAATGATGCCTCAGTCCCCTTCAAGGTAGGCACCTGAGGACCTCACACAGTTCTCCCAATTACCATCAGCTGTCCCGTCATATTTTCTTGAATCTCATCAGTGGTCTGAAATCTCTTCCCTTTCAAAGGTGATTTTAGTTTTGGGAAAAGCCAGAAGTCAGATGTTGCCAAATCTGGGCTGTAGGAGGGCTGCGTCACCTACCCATTTGATGTTTCGCCAAAAACTCTGCATGAGATGGGCTGTATAAGTGAGCACATTATTGTGATGAAGCTGCCTATTGTAGCCTTCTGAATCATTCAAATAGTTCCCGCAGAGGAATGTTCAAGCTTAATGCAAAATTTAATGCAGATTTGTTGCTCTGCTTGCTCAGGCATTTTGAATGTGATGACCACACAGTACACATGCTCACTCAACTGCGTCTACCACCCTACTGACTAGTACAGTGAAGTCATCACTGTTCATGCATGTGCATTCCAGTCTACTCTCCTTGGTTGTCAGGTTACATCAATGTTGTGCAAATGGTTCTCATTATAGTAACAATGGCTGGACTTTTTCCAAACAGACCTCATATATTAGAATAGTCTGATACAAAACAAATATACTCTGACACACTTCTAAGGAAATCTAATGTTCAATAGTTGTCTTCAAAATATGAATAAAGCAGTTATACTTACATCATTATATTTTTTCCGAGGTATTTTTATGCAGCTTTTCCCCATTTCCATATGAATCAACAGCTGATCTATATTATGCAAGGTATACTGGTAATTTCGGAGGTCCTACATAAAAACATGACATTTCCATAAACTTTAAAAACTATTATCTATGCACATTTGCCCATTCATTAAATCCTTTAACAGTATCCATCATTTTGAGACTTGTGATACATTACTGTGAAAATGCCATGTAAAAAGCAGTACCAACTTAAAAAACCAACTAATCCATCTGGCTACTCCACAACAGTAATAAAGAATTTTATTCTCAGGAAGGATTACTCTTTGTAGTTAGAGATCTTCCAACTAGGTCTTCAAACTGAATATTACAAATAAAATCAAGTCCACTGAAATACTTTTCTCTGGTAACAGTTAAACACAAAATTATAGAAATCAGAGGTGTGAAGACATCACCTATACCAATCCTTCCTAAAGCAAATGAGGAAACAGACCACACTTTGCTCACAATCACCAAACTTAATGACTTTACTACTAACACTTTTTTTTACTAACTCTTCAAAAGCTTCAACATCTGTGTAGATCTCATATTATCTAAATATGTAAGCACTGCAGCAGGATGAACTAAAAGGCAACTAGAATCAGTTAACATAGAAATTAGGAGATGTGTTCATCTAAAAAGCAATTCTTTAAAAACAGTCCATTTATGTTAAATGAATTAGGATTTATTATAAATTTTCATTATACCAAATACACCAAATTACAATAGGAAACATAAGTGTGTAAAATGTTCTAAATACATTTTTAAAGTAACAATATAAAAACACAATAAAATAGTTCAATTACTCACAACAAGTAAGTTCATAATAGTGTGTCCTATCTCTCCAAAAAGAGGTTTTCGGCCTCTGATACTTGTTAGAGGAGCAGGGTATGCTATAGATAAAAAAGGAAAACTGGTTACAGTAAAAAAAAAAAAACTTGAATTTATTACCTTTAATTCTTTTAATTTTTTTTTAATCATCACCTGAGGGCATGCTTATTGATTTTAGAGAGGGGGGGAAGAGAGGGAAGGAAGGAGAGAAATATTGATGTGAAAGAGAAACGTCACTCAGTTGCCTCTTGTACTCATCCTGACCAAGGACTAAACATGCAACCCAGGCATGCGCCCTGATCAGGAATTGAACCCACGACCCTTCAGTTTACAGGACAATGCTCCAACCAACTGAGCCACACTGGCCAGGGCAATTACCTTTAATTCTATTTTTTAAACAGTAGGGATACCCCCCATCATTTCTTTGGGGAAAATAACATGACATTAACCCATACTGAGTATCTACTAAGTGCCACATTGAACTGGGAACTTTACAGACATTATCTTATTTAAACTCTGTAACAACTTGATGAGGCAAGTATGTCTAGTCCTATTATGCAAATGAGAAAGTAAAGACACAGAGATGAATACATTTGCCTGTGGTGACTAAGTTAATAACTGGTGAAACATCTGAAACCAGGCTTGCCTGATTCCAAAGCATTTAACTTCTTACCACGTGCTTCTACAAAATTATGACAGCTGGCAAATTCCAAATAGCTAGTTCCCCCACCCCAATAAAGTTCTTATAATTTAAAGAGAAATATGAAGAATTAAAGATTTTAAAGGCACGGCCTGGCTGGGTAGCTCAGCTGGTTAGAGCGTTGTTCTGAAATGTATGTCAGGGTTGTGGGTTTGATCTCTGGCCAGGCACATACAAGACTCAACCAATGAATGCATGTGGAACAACAAATCAATGTTTCTCTCTTTTAAATCAAGTCTTTAAAAAAAGAAGATTTTAAAGGCAAGTAATTAATATTCAATTGTGCTAATTTATGACTTTATATAGTAAATTTGTATCGTTCTTGGGTCAACATGATAAAAGGAGCACACAGAATCAGAGAAATCAATGCACAGAAGGAAAAGGGACATGGAGTCTGTCACCTAACTCTACCTTTCTCTTTCTTTAGAGCACTATAAATATTGCACACCAAAAAGGAAAAAAAAATACTTTGCTGCCAATGCAGCAGAACCTCTGGAAAAAAAGAAAGGTGAAAAAGAAAAAGGTAAGACTATTTTTATGATGATAAAAAGCAGGTATATTTTTAACCTTCGGTTTACATGATGAATAAACAAACCTCTTTAATACCTAGTATGCAAATATACTTCCTTAAAATTCTAAAACACCTGACATTATCTGTTTTAAAAACTTAAGTCAGGATAACATCTTTGCCATTACAAACACATTGTGGAGTTTTTAAAAAGGATAAATAAGTTATCTGGAAGACAGAATGTATGGATTGGAAAAAACATAAGACATGATGGTAAAAGACATTAAAGTGATAAATAATATGGCTAAGGCAAATGCTGACTTTTTACTTCATCTCTGATGAATGAGGGAGTATCTTTGTAATGTGATAGAGGTAATTTTATTTAAAACACTGTTTTCAAAAGGCTATGGTTTAGAATGACATCCATCAGAGTTATGAAGGGACCTCATAAATCATCTAAACCAACATTTAATGATATTCCAGACAAATGGTCTCAACATGAAAGCAAAAATAATGCTATGTGAAAATTACTAATTTCAGAGTTACTTTCAGTTTTTAGTCATGGATCTCTAATTTCTGTCACTAAGTTTTCCATATGTACATTTTCTCTACACAAAATAAACACATATACCACACCACACCACACTTCCAAGTTCATGTCGCATGGGCACCAATAACATCAAAATACCAGAATCCAGCGAACATAAAGAACTCAGAAAACAGCTGAGACCATTAATTTCTATGTATAACTGCTGGTTTGCCCTCATCACCACTAAAGAGCTACCACAGCTTTACAGCTCCAACCCCTGTGTATCTTCTCAGAGGCCCTTCATGTTGCTCCATGATTTTCCTTTCAGTGTGTGAAAAACAAATTTAGTATCTAGAAGTTATACAGGCCCAAAACTGGACAACTTATGGAATGTATGTTCCATAATTACTCAAGAATAGCTAGTACACTGATCTAGCCTTCCATAAAAATAGCATTCAAATACTAGTTATCAGAGACAAAATATTATGTTGAATGGATGTAACATGGGCCTCAGAATGAAAATTTTTAAGTTCTTTGGTTCACGCAGTACAAAACCTAAGATAAAATTAAATTTTGTTACTTTTTACACAATTTTATAGCATCACATATTTTAATCCTAAATGATAAGGATCCCCCCTAAAATCAGTATAATAAAAATTTGCCAAATAAAGAAATTTAAATAGGCAACCACACCGGGGAAAAAAAAAGAGCGAGCGATGGCTCAAATAGAAGAACAAATCAGTGCCCCAGAACTCATCCTTTTGAGCGACCAAGAAATAGCTAACCTATCAGATGCACAGTTCAAAACACTGGTGATCAGGAAGCTCACAGAATTGGTTGATTTTGGGTGCAAATTACATGAAAAAATGCAGGTTACCATAAAAGAAATAAAGGAAGATGCACGGAGAACCAACAGTGATGAGAAGGAAACTGGGACTCAAAACAACAGAGTGTTGGGAACCGCCCTGACTGGTATCAGAGGCTGAAACCCCTGCCTAGGCTAAAGCTAAGGGAATGCCCTTGGAACCGTGAGCCAGCAAGGAGACAAAAGCTTATCTCCCTGGCAGGAATGCTGCTTCTGCTGCTTTATTCATGACTGAACCCCCAAAAGCTTGGTCGGTTAGCCAAAGACGGGTAAGATTCCCCACGGGGGAACGACCTAAGCCAGGCACGATCACTTTTGGGAGGCCCCCCCCCCAAAAGAAGGACTTGGGGGGGGCTGCAGCAAAAGGGGGGTGATGGACCCTCGCTCCTCGGCTCTGACATAGCCTGAGTTCTCAGCGTCTGGAAGAAAATCTCCTTATCTCTCGGTTACCTAGTTCCCTTGCTCCACCTAAGCCTGAAACAATGACAGGGTGGTACAGCTCGGTACTGAGAAGTGCGGATTTCCTGGGATGATCAGGCCTAAGAAAGAACATGTAAATTACTGTGAAACCTTCTTTGTTTAGAATGCTCTCAGTTGAATGAGAAGGGTCTTAGGAGGAAGTTAGTTTGTTCCTCAGTCTTACAGCTCTTTGACCCCAACTCAATAGACCGGCAGAGTTCTTTGTTTTCTATAGTTCCTTACTTCCCCTAATGAGTACTGTACTTTACCTGAATTATTATGCAGCATGAGCCCAATAAAAGCAGGTATGGACTGTAAATCGGGGCGCTCCCCACTAGGGGGGTGGCCATTTCGTCCCTACTTCCCCACAGAAACTAGTTTGTCTCTGTGCATGTTGTTATTTCTCGCGTGTTTATCGTCGAGCCATCCACAGTGTTCCGTGGTCACTGCTGGCCGGTGACCCACGCGCAACAACAGAGTGGACCAGAAGGAAGAAAAAAGAAACCAAACAGGAAATAATGAAGAAATAAAAATTCAAAAAAATGAGGAGAAGCTTAGGAACCTCCAGGACACCTTTAAACATCCCAACATCCGAATTATAGGAGTACCAGAAGGAGAAGAGGTAGAGCAACAGATTGAAAATGTATTTGAACAAATAATAAAGGAGAACTTCCCCATTCTGGCAAAGGAAACAGACTACCAGGAAATACAGGAAGCTCAGAGAGCCCCAAAGAAGTTGGACCCAAGAAGAAACACACCAAGGCACATCAGAATTACATTAGCCAAGGTAAAAATGAAGGAGAGAATCTTAAAAGCAGCAAGAGATAAGGGGACAGTAACCTACAAAGGAGTTCCCATCAGACTGTCAGCTGATTTCTCAAAAGGGACCTTACAGGCAAGAAGGGGCTGAAAGAAATATTCCAGGTCATGAAAGACAAAGACCTATATCCCAGATTACTCTATCCAGCAAAGCTTTCATTTAGAATGGAAGGGCAGAGAAAGTGCTTCTCAGATAAGGTCAAGTTAAAGGAGTTCATCATCACCAAGCCCTTGTTTTATAAAATGTTAAAAGGACTTATCTAAGAAAAGAAGAAAAGAAAAAACATGTATAGTAAAAGGACAGCAAACTCACAATTATTAACAACCACACCTAAAGCAAAACCAAAAGAAACTAAGCAAACAACTAGAACAGAAACAGAACCACAGAAATGGAGATCACATGGAGGGTTAACAACCGGGGAGTGGGAGGAGGAGAGAGGGGGAAAAGATACAGAGAATAAGTAGCATAGATTGTAGGTTGAAAATAGATAGGGGGAGGGTAAGGATAGTATGGGAAATGTAGAAGCTAAAGAACTTATAAGTATGACACATGGACATGAACTAAAGGGGGGAATTTGGGTGGGAGAGGATGTACAGGGTGGAGGGGAGTGAAGGGGGGAAATGGGACAACTGTAATAGCATAATCAATAAAATATATTTAAAAAAAGAAATTTAAATAAATTTCTTTCCCCATTTTTCTCCATTTTGAAATAGTAATGATCACTTTATAACTTCCCTACATTTTTCTCCAAAAAAATGCTTATGAAATTACATTAGAATCAAATGCACAAAATTTCACTAGATGTGGTGTACTTCACATGCAATAAATAAATAATTTCTTGAAAAGAAGAAGAAAAAGGGTGGGAATTCAAAAGTTTAACTTTGGAAATAATTTCAACTTAGATATAATCATAAATATAAACCTAGACCATTATTTCATAACAGCTTTAGAATCTCCAGTTGTATCAATGGTAGATGTATAAAGATACACACAAACTCACACTCCAAAATATACACATATACAAATATACATAAATGATACAGTCTGCATCACTTCTGGATGATAAGCTAAATGTCAGGAATACAAAAATAAGAAAAAGGAACCTCAAGCTTAGTAAAGATGGCAACCACTATTTATAAGTATTTCTTTCTCTAAAAACAGTCAACTCTCGATTATAGTCAGTAGCACCGATAATCCAAAAATCCTTTATATTTGGCTCTATAATGTACACAAATTGAAGGGGGCAATAAATTACCTTCTTAACATGTAGGCCACATAAAATGAACTCCCTACAATACATGCTTTTAAGAAAACTTTTCAAGGTTTTGTATGTTTTGTTCTGAAATTTAAAAAATATTTTTAAGATAAGTTAATATAATAATTATGAACACGTATAAACTTCATGATATACCAAGGTTTTGTAGACTAATTTGGTAGTAGAGGAAGGTTGTTTTGGAATTTTATAAGCACAGTGAAACAAAAGTGGTCCCATTAATCCATTAAAAATTTGACTTTAATGATATCCCTGAAATTCTTACTTTATATTCTATTTGAACCTATGAAATTTAACTTATTAATCTAAAACTTACCTTTATATTCTGCACCCAATCTCAACATTAAACGCATAGGGAAAACCTTTGCCCAAGGAATCTCTAGCTTCTGGATAAGAATTCCACAGAGAAAAGGGTTACTTGGTAATGGGAGATCATCAAGCTTTTGAAAAGTAGGTGTAATAAACAGGAATCCTCCATGGTCCTTGCTACTGAGAAAACTCTCAGTAAAGGTAATATTGTCCAAATTTTCTATGTATTTTCCTGGAAATAAAATCATTTAAAAAAGATTTTAATTGTTTTAAATAGGCATTCTAAGTTTGAATGTCCCAATATAAACTTTCTTAAATAAAGGCGATGTAGAATATTTTTTTTATTTCCACTCTTGAAGAAGCATCTATTAAATACCTCATGTGCACAAAGTTCAGTTATTTCTGGAGCTAGGGAATTATGAACAAAAATTTGAAAATGTTTCTAACCATAAGCTATATTTAAAATTTTTTTTTCCTTATTGCATGGTCAAGTAAAAAATCAACATGTACTCCCAATCTTATACAAACAGTATGTAAAATATACAGACACATAAAAAATCAAGAAGGCAAATATATTTTCACTTAAAAAAATCTGTGTAAAGACACTAATTACATAAAATGCTAGAGTTAAGAAGACTGAAAATGATGACTAAGATCTAAGAAAACAATAATTGCTTCACAAAATATTTAATACAGTTAGCACAGCCAAAAGCATAAGTGCCTTTAATTAATTTATCCATCCCCTAGTCTGAACAGCAAAATAAAAAGCTGTATATACCTTTTAAAGCATCCTTATATATGGAGATAAATAGTCTGAAGATGTCCTTAGGAATGGTATCTTCATTTGGCAAACATAACAATAGAATAATAATTTCTGCTTGCCCCAAGCCATGCAATCCATTGGTTGAGAAGTACCAATATCTGTCTGAGGAATCTTAAATGATAAAAGCATACAACTATAAATGTCAACTTCTATTAAGCAAAAAAAAATGAAATATAATTGTCCTTTGCATGAAGCACAATTTTCAAATTCCTTATTTTCCCAGACTTCTCTCAAAAACTTTAAATTGAATTGTCTAAGGTTAATGTAAAAAAGAGAAAAGATGACAGATTATCTTATGGAATCAATTAATAAATAACACTAAAATAAAAGATGCACTGATATGCTGAAATGTAGTGGGTAAGAATCAAGTTAGTTTCAAAGAGAATGAGAAAAGCTGAGAGATGTATTGTTGAATAGTGAGGATTATTCATTATTGAAGATTATTTGCTTCCTTACTTTTAATTAGGCCACAAGTCATTGACTTTAAACTGTCCTTAGTGCTACTAAATCAGGATTCTTGCTTATCTCAATTACCAAATTTCAATTTATTTAAAAGCTATATGAAATATAGTTAGTTGTATCATGAGCATCAAAATACAGCTCAGCTGTGAGCCCATGAGTTGAACAGAGGACTTACTGAGAGACAATAGCAAAAATCTGTAAGCTTGTATTTCAAGTCCCACTGAATATAAATTTGCAAAATTTATTTATATTCATATTTGGCTAAAAAACCAATATCCAGTGCTGCTTACTTTCCATGACTGACAGTCAAAATTTAACCTGAAGATGTAATTAACTCAGAAATCCTGCTTACCAATTAGGCAAAGAAAGATGAATCATTACTTACAAAGTACTAACTTGACATTCACGAGTAGATTAGCATTTAGGATAAACGTAACAGGGTGAAAATCTTTGTCTTCAAGAAGCAAAGTGATCTGCTCATGAGATGGGTGTTCTTCTATTACAGGCACTAAATCATGAAAATTACATAATTGGAACAAATGACTTCCTGTTAAATATACTTGCAGTGGAAAAAGACAACAGATTTTAAATCTGCCAATGGCTTAATGAAATTTAAACAAAAGCAACCACATTCCATAAAATCAATCAATACCCTGGGCAATTGTTATATCCTCATTTTTTAATTTCCTACTTATGTAAAGATATCAATTTGTAATACATATAAATCCTGATATGTATACGCAACAAATTTTGACTAAACAGCATACTTATATAATTTCAACACCTTTAAAATTTTAAAACAAAGTTTTATAAAGTGGATTCCAGTCTGCCAGCCACTCTGATGATAAATTCTGAAATTTACAATGCTAGGAAAGTAATCTAGACCCGAGTTGCACTTGCTGCTTGCTGAGCGCATGCCCTATGTCAAGCAACAAGTGGCAAAAAACAAACAAACAAAAAAACAACTTTACAATCAATAGAAAAATATTCATGGCCTGCAAAGAACAGGGATCAAAGTATTTTTGCCACTATAGCCAGGTTCATGAAATAGCTCCTACTGACACAAAGAGATCCTAAACTCCATTCACACACATTATCGTGCACAGAACATAATCATTTAATATTCTAGGGTGCAGCATAATGCCTGGGGTGATAAGGATGTATGTATCCTAGATAACTACATGGGATAGAAGCTAGCCATAATATCTCCACCTTGAAAAAGGCCTTACAGATTATCTAAATTCTCTTTTTTTAAAAAGAAACTGAGGCCCAAAGACATTACATAACATGCTTCAAGTCATACACATATTAAGTAGCCAATGAGAAACTAAAATTCCTAGCTTTGTCATCCAATCCAATACTCTCTTCTTTAGGCACTATGCTTCCTTAAAAAAAATGATGTGGAATCAAAACTCTAATACAATGGAAATATTTTCCAGTCTAAAAGCCTGTGAGCTTCCTTGCTGTACTAGACTTTTGTTTCACTTTAAGTTAGGGACTCAGATGTGATAAATGTATCATATTAAACTTAAAACTTCATATTTTTAAGAATTTTTTTACATAAGACTTTTTGTAAACTAAAGTTACCAAGCCATGTTTCAACCAAATTGTCTAAGTTTAAAAAATGTATTTCATACAACACAGATAACAAAATTCATCATTACATTCTCAAAAAAACCCCAAACAAAACAAAACCTTTTTAAAATTTAAATATCTGCTACTCCTACCTGATCCCTTTTCTCCAGAGGCAACCAGAAGAGGCGGCAAGCTGTCCTCATCGTCAGGCAGAAGACTAACCTTATTGTACACATTCTTGTCAATACCACACAGTGACCTATAATCTGAAGTACTAGCCACAGCTAAACTGCTGTTAACTATGACACCAGTAGGACTAGGTAGTTCTTCAGTTCCTGCAAAAACATCATCATCTAGTGTAAAAGAACCAGAAGTAGGTAACCCTTCAGTTCCTGTGCTTATGGGCAGCTTTTCCATAGATGAAACCTGAGAAATAGGACTCTGAATTATCTCATTTCTTGCAATATCTCCTATCTCATTGTTTGGTTTTTCCACTGCAGTAGAATGGGCATGGTCCACTGTGTTTGTCTGTAAAATATGGAATAAAAAAATCAGTTTATATTTTTTGTTCAGCTGTGAAATGTTCATCTCTATAGCCAAATATATTTTTTAATAAGAATAAATAAAACCAAAATGGGCTCAGAAATTCTTTAGAAGCTCAATCTCCCAAGAAAAAGTACCATTTTTTTTTCTTTAAATTCATAACCATAAGGTTTAGCTTTACTGTATGTTCAGGTAAGGTACCAATGACTAATTTTACAGACTGGAAAAAGAAGGAAAGGAGAACTTCAGGATCCTATACCACATCACACAGTGAGCAAGCTCAGTTCAACCCAAGGCTCTCATTCCCATGACAGCCAAAAAAGTCTTGGGTAAGCAAGGGAGAGGAAAAGGGGGAAAAGATGGGGAGGAAGCAGAGTGGTAAATACAGTCCACAATAGTAACCACCAGTAGTAAACTATACCTCAAGTATACTTATATAAAACCTCTTTCTTTTTAGACTGGCCAAACTTGAGTCAATATTAAAACAAGACCATTTATGAACTCAAATCATACTTACTAGCTTATTTAGCATTTTCATTTTGTTAAAATATTGATTGAGTGTAGGTGCTAGCTCAGAAACACTTTTGGTAATAATAGCTGTTTGTAAAATCTAGCTCCTGAACTCTTACTGGCAAACAGTATACGTTTATATGGTATGCAAACTTGAACAGAGCACAATACATATTCATCTTGTCCAATTTATGTAACGAGAATAAACCAGGTAACTGACACAGAGTAAATGCTCAATAAATATTTGTTTAATGAATAAAAGCATTCCTACTTCATGTATTAATGCCTGCTTCTATGGGCATTTTGCTACTTCATAATGAGAATTCTTAGTGGACTGGGAGTCTATATTATATATCTTCTATTTAACACCTAACACATTTATATAAATGCAAACAGAAATACCACCATCAGATACTTTGCTAAATCTTAGAAAATCATTAAATAGTAGTCTAAACGTCAGTTCTAGCCCTGGCTGATGTGTTTCAGTGGACTGAGTGCCAGACTGGGATCTGAAAGGTTGCCAATTCAATTCCTGGTCAGGATACAAGCCTGGGTTGCAGGTTCTGTCCCTGGTTGGGGGTGTGTAAGAGGTAACTGATCGATGTTTCTCTCACACATTGATGTTTCTCTCCCTTTCTTTCTCCCTCCCTTCCCCTAACTCTAAAACTAAAAAAAAATCTTATCTCTAAAAACAAATAAAAATCTTTAAAAAAAAGTAAATCTCAGTTCTATTTCCCTGTAACAGTGTGTCTCAAAACGTGGTCCAGGGATCCCTGGGGTCTCCAAAACCCTTTCAGAGAGTCAGTGAGGTCCTAGGATTTTCTTCATATAATTTAACCAAGACAATATATCACTATAGACTGAATATATAAGCAGTTACAAGAATGTGTCTTCTGTTAAGCCAGACATTAAGCCGAAAATGTAAAATGTTATCCCCATGACTAAATTTTTGCCTTAAAATTTTTCTCATACAAATATTATTTCTATTAGTGACTTTAGTTTCTAATTAATGAATTTCTTCTAAATTTTAATATTAATACAGCAATTATCTATAGGTGTAACCCACATAACTCACAGCTGTTAGGCACTATCAACAACTTTTAAGAACATAATGGGTATTGAGACCAAAAAGTTTAACAGTGAAAAAGGTGACATCTAAAATATATTCGTTACATCATATACTTCTCAATTTAGGCACCTCACAGCATTAAAGAAGAAAGTACTTTAATAATCTCATAAGTAGTTATCTATAAAATAAAATTTTATTAAATTAGCAAGTCTTCTTTAGATTCCTTACCATGGGCAGATCTGGTAAGACAGGACTAAAATCTTCAGAATATTTTTTATTTCCAGATGAGAATTTTGTTGTATCTGCAACTTCACCATTGGGCAATATACCATCTGCAAACCACACTCGCTTCTGTTCTTTGGAACATAATCCTAGATTCAGTTTAAAAAGTAAAGCATTTTAATTTAGCAACATTGCAATGATTTAATATAAAAAGTAGTCAGGAAATGTTTTCAAAAGCTTTTGCTATCTATTGTCAAGCCTTGCATTCTCAGGGTTGCAAAGGCCTAGAGAAATGGCCTTATGTACCCAGGGGGGAAGTCTTTTTCTAATTCATACAAAGGCAGCATGACCCTGGGAATCTCGTACTCAGAAAAGGAGCAGACAGGAGAGGTTATATCTTAAAGACACAGGGGAGGCAGGTTTAAAGCCTATGTTATTAAAACTAAGTTTATGAGTGTGGAATGGAGACTGAATAAAATTTAGGGACTAAGACACAGGAAGGAAAAATGGACTAGATCAGAGCAGGGCAGATAAGCAAAGAAAAACATACAAGGAAAAGGAACAGGCATAAAATGTCTAAAACAGGATCACTTGTACATCAGAGGTCATTTCTTTTAATTCATTTAACTAGAGAAACAAAATATATTTTGTTCTTATATTAAACTTTATTAATATTTATTAGTATTTTCTCCCATATTTGGAGGAAATAATTAGATATCAGCATAAATATTTGTTCTGTTATTATAAAGCATCTATAGAGGAAGGTTATGAAAGTTTCTGCCAAATGACTTTTGAACAATATAAAACAGCCCTGGTGGGGTAGCTCAGTTGGTTAGAGCATTGTCCAAATACATATGCCAAGGTTGTAGGATTCATCTCCAGTCAGGACACATAGAGGAAGCAACCAATGAGTGCATGAATGGCTGAAACAACAAACTAATGTTTCTCTCTCTCTCTCTCTCTCTCTCTCTCTCTCTCTCTCTCTCTCTCCCTCCACATACACCTCCCCCCCTCTCCCAAATCAATATATAAAAATTTAAAAATATATACATAAACTTTAAAAATCAATATATCTACCTTCTAAAACATAATAAAGATAACACTGAAAAAAATGGAATCATATATACTTTTTGAAATACAGGTGTATTATTAAATAATGTATCTTTCTTATATTTGCAATAATTTTATAATTTAATAATTTAGGATGTCACTACAAAAGAATATATAAATATTTCTAAAAACAAATTTATTCATCTTTAGAACTATAACATATAACCATACAGAGGTTGGCAAAGTAGGCTTACAGTTGTTCATATAGAAAAAGCCATGCAGGTTATGATTATTACAATAGCTTTGTTAATTATATTTCATGTTCTCACAACTGTAAACCTACTTTTGCCCATTCCTATATATACTGAATCTCCTTATTTAAGTTATAATGAAAAATGGAAAATAACTATTAAGTGACAGATAAACTGAAGTCCAAAATAATAGTCACAGTATCTGAATTTGTCTTTAATGGACTGTTCAAGTTATTGTCTAGCATGTTACAGACTAATAGTTTATGTTTAAAAATGTACAGACTTGACTCAAGATCCTAAACCATGACAGGCCATAAAAAAGAACAGAGTCCAAAAATTTAAAAAACATTTTTATCGTGGTAAAATATACACTTAAAAACAAATTTTTTAAGAAACGGAGATATGCCAGTTCTTTACCTATTGTCTCTCAAACCCAGGCCTACCCTTCTTCACCATGCTCTTGGATGCCAGGGTAGAAGTCTAGAAAGTGCAACTCCCAGACCCCCATGATAGTTGCCTCTAGTCTGGTTCCACCAATGGCAGGCACTGGCGGAAGATTAGAAGGCAAGAAAAGAAGGAATTCTTTGTTTCCAGTTCCTGCCACGCTTCCAGAAGCTGCAGCACCCCCAGATATAGCTGCATGTCCTGTGATCTTCAGCCCTCCTTTCATCAACCCCAGAACTCTTCTCCAATCATCTGAGCACTAACCCTATTAGGCTCCCTGATGGTTCTAGCATTGGCCTGTTGGTGTTCCCCCAGAGGTCACAGCACCAGCCATGTAGTACCCCAACCCCTGAATCCCAGGTCTGAGAACCAAGTACCTTCTTGTGCTCCTGCACTGCGCTCCAGTAATATTGCCTCTCACTTTTTGTTCCCCAAGCCGTAGAGGTGGTAGTTGCTTCCTGTTATTACTAATTTCTGAGTCACTTGAGTATGCCCATTTTGCTCTTTCTGACTTCTTATATACGTGTATAACCAGTGTCCTGTATAAAATTCCTTCCAATATCTATCTCTTTCTTCACTCGACCTTGTCGTCACTAGAAATTTTCTACCTTAATTTATCTTTAGTCTTAGACACAGTATTTTCTTCTAGTTACCTTCAACACTTGGTTGTTTAAGGGCTGAGGTTGGTAAAGTTGTAGGGGAAGGTACACTGGATGTTTGGGTCTCCTGTAGAGGCTGGATGGTGGCACCTTCTTCAGAATGATTAGATTTGAGATTGGAACCAGTTGGGCTCATCATCCTTTCAAATGCCTGAGCTATAAAGGGGGGAAAATAACATTAAAATCTCAGATTTTTGAATTTCAAAGTAAAATATGATACTCTATTTTTCAAGTTGTAGAGAAAGAAATCAATGGTTTAGCAAGAAAAATAAATGGCACTGAACAAAGATAATGCCCTTACTTTGGCAGCACTCCACTTCAATATAGGCAACCAATTAGTTATTTCAATATTACTTTTAGCTTACGTTTGATACCTACTAAAGAAATTATTATTTAATATGACTGTTTTTGCCCTGGGCCCCTCAAGTCTGTTTTCTAACATAGTTCAGAGTGATTCTTTTAAAGCATAAATCGTATTACACCATTTCTCTGTTTAAAATCCTTTAAATATCACAAGTGAAGTGAACATTTCAATTGTTACAGTGGCTCACAAGACCCTACCTAGCCTGCATCTCAACCTCCTCTGCTTTCCCAGTTACTATCTAACCTCATCTCTCACTGCAATTCCACTTGCACATTATGATCCATCCACCCAGGACTCCTTGTTTTCCAAGAAGTCAAGAAGTGCTCTGCTAGATTGGGGTGTTTGCTCTCATTGTTCTCTCTGCCTAGAATATTCTTCCCATAAACACATAGCTTTATTTTCTTACTTCCTTCAAGTATCTGCTCATAAGTCATATTATCATATTACCTTACTCTGATCACCTTAGGAAAAAAATACAGCCTCTTGTCACTAATCAGTTACTATCTACCCTCTTATACTCTTTGATTTTCATTTAGGATACTGTCATCATCTGCTATTCTTTTTGCCTACTGTCTGTCCATTTCTCCCACATTCGTAAGCTCCATGAGAAAAAGGAGTCTATTTTGTTCTCAGCTGGAGCTCCAAAATGCTGAATAGTACCTGAATACTGCTGAATGTCTTTTCATCCAAATAACACAGAATAGCACTGGTAGCTCTCACTTCAAATGTCTCCAAACTGATCTGCTGTGAATGCTGCCACTACTGAAACTGCCTTCCTGAAGTGACAGTAAATGATGGCAATCTCATGAAATGGCTTCCATTAACCAAGTGAAATCCAAACATCTTACTCTGGGTTTCTAAGTAATTTCCATTTTGCCCTAAGTCAACTTAATGTGACTGACATGCATGCTACCTTGAAACTTACAGTCTCAGTACAACTTCCTCATTATCCACAATTTCTATCTCAACTATTTTTTCTTCTACTCCTTCATGAAATGTCTCACAAACACTGAGCCATCTTTCTTTTCTTATTTAGTAACATTACTTTAAATGATCACTTATACCATTTTCAACCCTAAAGGTGATATTAAAATAAGTTATTTATGTTTTCTTATGGTGTATAAAGAGAATCATAAATGAAACTACATGCTATAAGATATCAAAACAGAATAAGTAAAAGATAACTAAATACAGAAACCCATTTCAAAATATTTTCTTCAATAAACCAAAGCTTGAGCTCACCCTACTGAGAGTCTTTTACAACTCTATCTTCTTCCCTTATGGGTTCTTACAGTTAGAATGTGTTGTAATGTTCACTAGAATCTGACCTGTTGACTCAATGTTTGAAACCTTCACAGCTAACAGCATAAGTAGTTGTCTTCTAGGATACTGAAACAGTGTAAGAAAAAACAAAACTAAAAGCACTTAAGCTAACTTCTTTATAAACGATGGTGATAATATGGAAATATAAAAAGAGTTATACTGTATTATCTTCCAGAACACAGGTCAACAGCAGGGAGTAAAGTAGCTTACCTCAAGCTAAAATCTCACATCAGAGCTTTTTGGAGAATTGCTGAAAAAATTAATCTTCATTCAAAAGAGAAAAACAAATAATTATCAGGTAGTTATTCTCCTAGCTAACAGGAAGCACTGCCTAAGCTAGTACATGGTCCTGGTCTTTAAAAAGTCCCAAATAATATTTGCTGGGAATTAAACTGTCAACAAATCTTAGAAAATGCCAAGAAGTACTCAAAAGAACAAATGCATATTTGAGGAAAAAAAACACAAAATACACATACACAACTGTGAGAACTCAAGACAACAAAGGTTATTGCTGATAATGGTAGCTAGCTAGGGAGCCAGAGAAACATTAGGAAACACATACAAACAAAATTCTAAAATTGAGAAGGGAAAAAAATATGAGACACAAATGTACAAATATTGTGGCAGTCTTACAAATTTTACCTATGAAATCATAGATATTACTACCTTATCTTTTACTGCCATTTCAGGTTGTAATTTTCTAAAGGGTGCAAAAAAACTATTATCTTGCTTTGTGCTATTAATATATAAGATTAAACACTACTTATTGGTAGGTATAGGTATTCAATAAATGTTTAGATTAAGATGATGACGACGACAATGATGATGGCAAAAACAATAGGCAGATGAAATGCAGCATTTAGGGACTTGGTACCTGTTAAAAGTTAATGAACTGCCACTCCAGAAATTGAATGCTTCCTTTCCAGACTGGTAGTATTAATTGTGACAGTGGAACAAAAAGAAGAGAAACCAAGCTTGGGATGTCCCACCTAAGCCAGATAAGTCAACACTAGGTCCTCGCCTTAAGGAAATAAAGAAGTTTATCTTTGTCACAATCCAATTGTTTTTAGAACATATTCAATTACTTAAAGAAAATATGTCAGGTTACTACTCACCTTTACTAATGGTTTCATAGCAGACCACACATACTCTGGCTTCCTTTTCTAAGTACTGCAGCTTACACTTCCTATTACAACAGACACCACAAAATACCTATAAAGAATAAGATATCATATTTGGTTCTGTTTCAAGCATACTTATACCTACTGGAGGCAGGCAGAGGGGAAGCCCAAACTCTAATCAAAAACCATTTTTCTGATTATATAATTTTTCTAATCACTATAATGATAGGTAGTTATTAAAATGTTTTTATCTTTTACATAAATGAGGTTTCCCGAATTTAAAATTGTATCTCTAACAAGGGGAATTCCTTTAACTCAATTCTATTCATTGGAAGGCAACAAAAATTTTCTTTAATGAATAAATTTATAATTTAAAACACTATGATTCATTCAAAACCTTTAAAAGTAGACAATTGTTATTTTTCTGAAAGAGAATAGAGTTGATCTCACAGCAACATATTGATGACAAATGCTGAATAACCTGACCTGACACCAGGCTAGAATCACACAATGATACTTCATTGTGGAATGAACTTAATTAACTCTCAGAAGTCCCCCAACATCCCTAGCTCCCCAATGAAATGGGAAAAATCAGACATAGCTTGTTTTTGCCATTTAGAAGCAATTAGGTGTATTTCTTCTCTCTGTCCTTTCTCCCCTAAAAAGTCTTAAACATTCCTATGGACACTAAAGCAATATTGTTCTCATGATTAACTGCTGGAACAATGGTCTAGTCCCTTTTCATGTGTTTCAGGCAATTCAACAGTCTTCATATAATTTTTTTATGATTTGCCATATAAAATATCTACTTAGAAGACTAAGAATAAAACTGCTTTTGCCCCCCAAAAATAAAAAAGAAAAATGCTGAATAAAAAATGCAATGTTATTTCTATAGCCAACTCTCAGAAGTTTATAGACAATTAAGGGTGTCATAACACAAATTAGGTCAGCTTCACTGTTCTGATCCTTGTGTAAGCCAATTTGCTTTTTCTTTCAATGTTTACCTGACCACAACACTAGCTGCAGAGTAGTCTTAAAATTAAGTATTCAAAGACAAACAGGAACTGGCTGAATTTGGAATATCTGATGTGTTAGACAGATAAGGGCATGTATTCTTAGATTTCGCAAAAATTAGTAACCACTGTTCCTCCTTTTCCAGTACATAATACCCATGATTATGTGACATTTATTCAACTCTCAAGTAATCTATAAAATGACAGTGCTTTCTATATTTCCATGTAGGTGAAAAACAATGATTTTAAATTAATGGAATCTTTTAATCATCTATTAATGAGCTTTTTGTCACATAAAATTTCATGTAAAATGTCTCAAAAGAATAAACAACTTAAAGATTTGTATAACTTACTTTCCCACATGCTCGGCAGTGGTGCCGCCGTTTTGTAAAAGTAAACTTGACTTGGCAGTTCATACAGTTTGGAGCTTCTGAATCAGGAACCCAAGTAGGTTGTTTCTGGCCTAAAACCAGGCCTTCTTTGCAAGTGTTTGCAGGTAGAGATTCTTCATTTGCAGTTATAAGATTGGATCCACCATCAAAATTACTTTCTATATCAATGTAATTCGAGTTGAAGCTAACCTGAGGATCATTTGTAGAATCTGTTGTACAAGAGGTTAGAGCACTGGTATTTGTTATGCTGGGTTCGCCTTCAGGCATATTTAGAGTATCTGGCTTATTTGGTTCTTTTGAGCTCCTTGTTCTTGATGAAATGTTAAACAACTGCTTAGGTCTGGCCCCTCCAACATGAACAGATTGACTGTTAAAATCAGAGACTGACAATTCATTTGTAATCTCAGACTTACTGGTAGATAACCCTTGTTCAATTGGAATTGTACTTTTTTCCCTTAAAGAAAGGCCGCCATTTTCTGCTGTATATTGTTTATCAATTGTTTCACAAATCATATTACTACCAGGACTTTCCCCAGTAGCTCCTGCTTCAGCATTGAAGTATTTATTACTGATGTTTGTATCATCTAGTCCTTCCATATTTATCTGATTCATCTGAAATTTTGAGTCATTTACATTTTCTTCAAATGACTTTATGTCGCTGGTCTGAAGATACTGTTCAGTCAGAAAAGCATCAAGTTCAGCATCACTAACTAGTGTGCCACTTTTCATGCCTTCATCAATATTAAAGTAATCTAGGTCTTGTCCATTGATATCATTGCTTAAAAAAGTGAGACTTTCACAATAATCAGGAGACTCTGGAGCATTAGCACCAGAAAGCTCCATTTGAGATTCTGCCACTATAGAAGAACTAGTGTTATCAGAATAATCCAAAGAATCAACTCTGACTACCTTCTGGTCAGGATCTATCTTTCTGTCTCCCACCTTTTCAATTAATGGCTGATGAAGTATGTTTTTACATTTTTCCTGTTTCAAAACATCAGTCTCCTTCAATGGTTCCCCACCTAGAATAATACTCTTCTGTATGTCTTCATGCACAGTCACTACTTCTTGTATGTTATCTTTATGCTCACACTGATGTAAACAATCATCATGCATTTTACTTTCAATTAATGATCCACACAAAGACCCCCTGTGTACTGGAAGACAGGACAATGAGGAGTATATATCTTCATTTGAAACATGTAAAGTTGGAGAGGAATCTTGGATTACATCTTTATTATCTTTAAGATCTAAATTTGAGTCTTCTTTTGAAGACTGTTTTATAAATAGAGCAGTCCTATCTTGAAAGGAGTCAGGTAATTTGAAATTTTCATCTCTTGAATTTGACTCATTTAAGCATAAACCTTCATTTTTTGGAAGACTGCAAGGCAAAGCAACAGGGCTGTCTCCTTCTTTTAAACATTCTGTGGCAGCTATGACTGCTCCATGTACCTTGTCTTTTCCCACACAGTCATCAGCTATTACTAATTCACATGGCTGGGTCTTGTCTTGTGGGTTGTCTTTGGCATCAAACATTTCGGAACTTTGTTGAGTCAAGGCAGATGGCAAGTTCAAATCAACAACAGGTTCTAACTGGTTAGAGTTCTTTATATCTTTTAAATTTTCTTTTCCACTGTAATTACATGAATCCGAAAGTATTGTATTTACATTTATATTCAATTCTTTAGTTCTACTGATTTCTCTGTTTTGTAATTCACAGTTGACATCATTTTGTTCCTCTCTGACAGCATTATTACCATGGTCTATTGATGAAACACAAAGAGTTTCTGACACTGAAGATAAATCCAATCCAGTCAAAGAATCGACACTAGACTTAAAATCATCTGGCAATAATTTTTTAATATATTCTTCATTATTAGTTACATGAACTAAGTTACCCATGTCACTTATCAGATCACACACAGGTTTACTACATCGTCCCATATATAAAGGCAGGGTTTCATCTGAAGTACCACCATCCACAGAAGAAAGAAGATCAAGTCCTGTTACATTTTTTTCATTTTGTATGGAAGTTAGTCCCTCATGTGTTTTTTCATTCAATGAAATCTGATTTGTTTCATAGCATGTTTCTGATGAAGCACAACAATTAATGCATTGTTGATCTTTTGGTAGTGGTAAAGTTAACTGTGAGGAAGCCAACTCTGAAGAAATTGAACAGTGGTTATAATCACATGCATTTTGTGCATCTTGGAGATAATCTTGTTCATCTAATTGAAATAAAGATACAATGTTATTTAGGAGTATCAAATCAAAATTATTACAAAGATGTTATGTTTTCTAAGACTCCCAAACTAACTAAACTTTTTTTAGAGATAGATTACTGTCTTGCAAAATGGTAAAAACTCCAAAATTACTTTTATTTGGATTAAAAGTACTTGGGGTTTTCACTTTTGGCTGTAGATATTACAAAGTGACACAAATTCACTCAAAATAACCGATAAAAACCAACTAAGGAACAGCTGAAAAACAATTTAACTTCTTTGTTCCACCCTCTAGTTTCCTAGTCTTCATTCTAGATCAGGAAAATACCATCTCTCATAGTAATGAAATACCAATTATGTAAAGCTTTCAAGTTACTTTTAGCTGGTTCATATGTTGGTTTCAAAGGTGTTTCTTTTAGCTGTATTAGTATCTGGAGAGAAACTTCTAGTTATTTTACTTTGATTTCTGCCTATTGGTTCCATTCAGTATAAGAATAAATGAATATATTTTAATGAAATAAGTGAATCTTTTATGGAAGATAAACCATACTACCCAAAATTGAAACCAAATTTTGCTAAGAGTACTCTATATCTGAGATGACCAAATTAAAGATATTTGTAAATTTCATTACTGACAAAAATGAAAAACCAACAAACCTGGATTCTGTTCAAAATCATCAAGAAGTTTGTCCAAGTCATTGACTGCTGCTTTAAAATAACTGTCCATCCTACTTGTAGACTTACTCAGAATTTAATTCTTGTATACCTAGAAAATAAAAAGTATGATAGTTCATTAAATTCTCAAATATGCAAGTATTATACCATCTACTATATGCCAAGAAACACAGTCAGGATATAGACACAAAATTTATGAATATTGATTTGAGGATCTATAATTTAGTTGGGGAATTTGCCTCTATATACACACAAAAAAATGACATGAAAACCAACTCTAACAACATACTATGCAAACATAAACTATTACAAATTTTAAAACACATAACTCACAGATCAAAAAAATTCTTAATTGAAAGCTAAAAATAGTTATAAGTACCATTTATCAAATAATATAAGTATACTACATCCAGATGAAAATAGTGCATATTAAAAGCCTGTGAGACTCAGCAAAAGCAGTACTTCAACAGATGCTTAGGACCTTAGATGCTTATACTATTATAGAAAAGACTGAAAACTTATGAACTAGGAGCAGAAATTAAAGAAATAGAAAACAACCATACAGAGAGAGATACAAGAAAACCAAAATTCAGTTTTATGAATAAAGTAGATGAACCTCTGATCTGTGACAGGAACTCCACCAAGTGAACCTGAGACACCATGAAAGAATCTATCACTGACTAATGGGATAACACCAAAAGAACACAGGAGACAAGTTGAAGGGCTCCCGCTGGCTTAAATGGAACAGCTGGACATCAGATAAACGAAGATTGCAAACGGTTGAAATCAAATCAAATCAAATAGATTAAAAAAAAAGAGGTCTTACTGATACTAAAAGCATAAACAAATCAACCCACCCATTGGAGGGATTCTATGGCACTAACTCACTACTCTGACATTGATTCATTAAGGGAGAAAGAGCCAAGAATTTATCCTGACCTTTCTTTACAAAATATCCTTTAGGATAACAGATTAGTTGCTGAGGGAAAGTTCTTTAGATAAGAATGCCAGCTAATAAATATAGGAGGATCATTAAAAATCATCTGTTTGCATTCCCTAATGCAATAAATGGACTAGGCAATGGATTTCATCAATGGACTAAATTTAGATGAAAGGTTGGAGGGTAAACATAATGGTGGGGCCAATCCAACAAGTCTGACTCCAGTGATCAATTTCACCGTCAACAAATATAGACAAACCAAACACATGCCTCATATGGAAGATACAGCATCATGTAAAAAGTATTCCTGCTTAAAAAAAATTGAACCTGAATCTAATCAAGCTTTTAGAACTAAATACATGTTTATTGGAAATTCAAGAACAGAGGGACAAGTTAAATTACATCAAAGGAAACCAATCAGCTAAATCCAGCAGGCAGAACACTCTACAGGAGTGTTCCTCAAACTGTCTATGGTGAATGGCCTTTTCTTTTTTCACTTCCAGTTTGTTACAAATTGTTAGTTTTGTAAAACACAGTAAAGCAATACAAATTTTGTAATAATACATCCAAGCAAAAAATATACACTATTAAGTACACCTGAATGGTTGCCTAGAGTGAAGAATGGAGTAAGAAATGAGGGATAGAAGGCAACAAACATGGAAGAAAACCTGACTTGGGGTGCTGAACACACAATACAATAGACAGATGACATATTATAGAATTGTATACCTGAAACCTATATAATTTTATTAACCAATGTCACCCCAATAAATTCAATAAGAAAGAAAAAAAGGCAACAAATGAGAGGGCTTTACAAAGAGCACTTAATGATAGTTGCCATAAACTAAGGACACTTGAGGTCTAGAAAAAATAAAAGATACTTTAAAGATGGGTTAAAAAATTAGACAGAGCTTAAGAGAGAACTAAATGTATTAAAAGACCTATCTGAAGAAATTACCAATAATGAAACCTAGAGAGATGAGAAAGAGAAAAATATGAGAAAGAGGTAAAGAGACATGAATGACAGAATGAGAATGGGGTCCCATAAGGGGAAAGAAGAGAGTGCACAGATCAAGTATATTTGAAAACATAACGCTAGGAGTTTTTCCAAAATCAATGAATAACACAACAGATACAGACATCTCACTATATTAAGCAAAATAATTAAAGAGAAATCCACAGTTAGACACTCTATAGTGAAACTTTTGAACTCCAAAGATCCAGCAGCCAGAGAGAAAAGGTCAACTTCAAAGTAACAGTAATTACACTGGCAACAGATAACTTCAGAACAGTTTTCAATAACAATGATATGTCATTCTAACTCAATACAGCATATTACTTTCTTTACTTTCATTTTTAAGCTGTAGTTATACCATCATATACAAGAGTGCACAAAACATAAAGATATCAAAACAAACAAAAAGGAATTTGAAGGGAGACAATGCAGGAAACAGAAGAAAATGTCAAAGAAACATTCTCAGAAAAAAAGTAATGCAACTATGAAACAGAAAGGAGAAACCATAAATAAGGAACATATACCAAAAAATATCATAAAAATTGATAGCAGAAATGTGAGGTTTTAGGATGCAGTGAAAGGAGTGCTTAGAGTTATAGTGTTAAGTACACATATATTTTTTAAGAAAGATCTAAAAATCAATAATATAAGCTTCCACCTTGGGAAACTAGGGGAAAAAGGGCAATTTAAGCCCAAAGCAAGTAGAAGATAATAAAGATTAGAGCAGAAATCAATGGAATTAAAAACAGGGAAACAATATAGAAATCACTGAAACCAAAAAAGCTTTCTTTGAAAAGATCAATAAAAGTGATAAACTAGGCTAATCAGAAATGAAAGAAAGGTCATAACTACTGATGCCATAGATACTTAAAAGAAAAGTAAGGAATATTATAAACTCTGCCCACAAACTTGAAAATTTAGATGAAATGGATCAACTCCTTGAAACAAACTACCAAAATTCACACAAGGAGAAACAGATAACCTGAATAGTCTTATATCTATTAACAAAAATTAAAACAATAATGAATAACCTCCCACAAAATAAATCACCAAATCCAGATGGCTTCACTGGTAAATTGTATCGAACATCTGAGGAAGAAATGACAGCAATTCTCCATAGTCTCTTCTAGGAAAAAGAAGTAAACACTTCCTAGCTCATTTCATAAGACCAGTATTACTCTAATACCAAAACCAGATAAAGACATTACAATAAAGAAAACTACAGACCAATTTTGCTTGTGAACACAGACCTAAAAAGTACTCAGTAAAATACCCGCATATTGATTCTAACAATGTATAAGAAGAATTCTATACAATGGCCAAGTGCGACTGACGCAGCTATGCAAGGCTGATTCAACAACTGAAAGTTAATCAATGTAATTCATACTAACAGACTAAAGAATTATCACATAATTTTATTAACTGATGCAAAAAAATCTGACAAAACCATGTACCTACTCATGATAAAAACTCAGCAAACTATGAGTATAAGCAGAACTTCAATCTGATGATGAATATCTACATAATACCTACACCTAACATTATACTTAATTATGAGAAACTATATCCCTTCCCTCCAAAGACTGGGATGAAAGAAGGATGTCTTCTCTCACCACTCCTATACAACATAGTACTGAAAACCTTGCTAGTGCAATAAGGCAAAAGGAAATAAAAGGTACAATTTTTGGAAAGGAAAAAAAAAACTGTCTCTATTTACAATAAGTTTCAATGTAGAATATCCCCCAACATTGACCCCCCCAAAATGGAAAGTGAGTATAGCAAGGATGCAGGATACATGGATAATATACAAAAACCAAATTCATTCCTTTATATGAGCAAGGAATAACTGGAATTTGAAATTAAAAAAAAAAATAACATTTATAGTAGCACCTCAAAAACATGAAATACTTAGGTATAAATCTAACATAATATATATAAGACCAATATGTGGAAAATTACAAATGCTGATAGAAAAAAACAAAGAAGATCTAAATAAATGTGATATATTCCATGATCATGGATAGGAAAACTCAATATTAAGATGTCAATTCTTCCCAACTTAATCTCTAGGTTAAAAGCAATCTCAATCAAAAATCTAGCAATTCTGTAGGGCTCAGGAAATTGATTCTTGAGTGTATATGGAATGGCAAAAGACCTTGAGTAGCCAATATAATACTTTAAAAGAAGAATAAAGTTGAAGGACTCATACTCTGGTTTTAAGACTTAAAACCTGGCTGCGTATATCAATGGAACACAACAGAGAGCCCAGAAACAGATCCAAACAAGTACAGTCAATATATCTTTGACAAAGGAGCAAATGCCTTTCAAAGAAGAAAGAGCAGTCTTTCAACAAGTGGTGCTGAGAAAACTGGACATCCCTATGCAAAAATATGAACCTAGATACAGACATTATACTTTACATAAAAAGTATTTAAAATAGATAGTAGGCCTAAATGTAAAATGCAATATTATAAAACTTGTTGAAGAAAAGGTAAGAGAAAATCTACATAACTTTGGGTTTGGTGATGAGTTTTTAAATACAACATCAATGCCACGATCCATGAAAGAAAAATATTGGTAAATTCTATTATTAAAATTAAAATTTTATTTCATCTGCTCTGAAAAAGACACTGTTTAAAAGAATGAGAAGACAAGCCAGAGTCTGGGAGATACTATATTTTGCTGTATATAATGCACATAATGCACACTTTTTTACCCAAATTTCTGAGGGAAAAATAAGGATGCTCATTATATGTGGGTAGTACCTGAAATACCTTCTAGTTGTTCTTGGGTTTTGTAATTATTTGTTGCATAAAATTTCTTGTACCATAATATGTTCAAAAATAAATGCTAAAATTCCTTTATAATACAAAAAACAAGTATCTAAATATAAATAAATCATGGGTTGAATTAAAAACATTAAAATGAAAGATTCTTTTCCTGAAAGTTTGGGCCCAAAACATGGATGCACTTTATACATAGCAAAATATGGTAATACTTGCAAAACACTTATCTGATGAAGAACTTGTATCTAAAATCTACAAAGAACTCTTAAAATTTAATTAATTAGAAAATAAACAATCTAATTAAGAAATGAGTAAAAGTTCTAAACAAACACCTCACCAAAGAAGATACA